TCCCACCCATGTCGAGATCCCACCCACGTCGAGATCCCACCCAAGTCGAGATTCCACCCGTCGAGATCCCACCCATGTCGAGATCCCACCCATGTCGAGATCCCACCCATGTCGAGATCCCACCCATGTCGAGATCCCACCCAAGTCGAATGAACCCTAGCCGTTAAAAAATGGCTGGTGTGTTGACGCCATGAAAAGCCATATCCCATCACATGCGTTAATTTGGGTTTTGTTATGCTATAGCTCTTGAGTGTGTTAACAAGCCCCCCCCCCCCCTTTTATTACTAGTACAACGCGTAGGAGTGGCCTAGCGGTAGAGATATGGACTGCTAACCAATAAGTCTCGAGTTCGAACCGGGTTCTAGTCAGTAGACCGTCCACCCAACTCTGATGGGTACCTAACTCACGTTAGGGTAAGTAAAAGCGGCTGAGCATAGTGCTGACCACACTATCCCTTCATATGCCGAGGTCACAGAAACTAGTGAACTCTACTTCACTTGCCCCATAGACCGTCAGGTTTGAAAAGGAACTTTACTACAACGCGAACATGACCTAGACTACAATCCCAACTCCCTTGTAAAATATGAAGCAATGTAAGCCTAGCTCATCTTCAGAGACGCATGTGTGCATCAGTTTAAACCACGAGACACACACAATATAATGCTTGACGGAGTATAAGGCTACACATATACGTTACCTCTAGCTTTCGCCCTCTTCAAATCTATAATTACATACAGTTCTTAACGAACTTTTTTTAAGAAAACAAAATATACCACTTACCTTCGATACGCTAAAGACGGAACAATTCAAGTTGACCGACTAAAATTGATTCGACAGGGCCACTGTTCGTAGCTTCGGGGCCAAATTCTCTCCGTGTTCCTCTGATATCCCAAAGTCCAGTTTTTATAAACACCAGGGGCGAATACTCCTTGGTAGCGCCGCCGTGAACTAGTTTCTGCAATCTACTCTTCAGTCTTAGTGTTGGCGTCTCTATTATTTAACAAGTGACACATTTAATGGTAGGTCCACACAGAGGCGTAGCGAGGGGGGGGGGGGGGGCGCGGGGGTGCGGACCGCACCGGGTGACACCATTTAGGGGGGTGACACCAAGGCAAAAAATGGTAAAATAAATAGAGAAAAATTTGAGGGGGGGGGGCAAATCGAAAGTTTGAGTGGGGGGGTGGGGGGGGGTGCAAATCGAAAGTTTGAGTGGGGGTTGCAAATCGAAAGTTCGAGAGGGGGGTGCAAATCGAGAGTTTGTGGGGGGGGGGGTGCAAATCGAAAATTGAAAGTTTGTCCCCGGGAAGAGTCGTACGCATCTGGGTGGGTGACACCATTAAGTGCCGCACCGGGTGACACCCAACCTCGCTACGCCACTGGGTCCACATCTTGTCAGCCGGGATATCGTACACAGCCCCCCCCCCCAATTTATTCTTATCTAGAAGATTGCAAACTATATAGACCTACACACAACTATTAGATAACTAGTGACATAGTGGACAGAAAAGTTGAATAATATATTTTTTATTTAAAACTTACACTTATTTATTTCTGACGTAATATTAAATAAACCACACTATTTCAACAATCGTTCTACCCAGATTTTTTTATAAATAAAAGAGCTCTCATATGTATAATTGGGGTTATTGAGTTGGGGGAGGGTTGCTAAACTGTATTGCCGGTATGTTTGTTTTGTGAGAAGCATCAGAGAATTAGTTCTAGTTTTTAAGTTAGTTGTGTCGCTGTCATAAACCTTGTCCTACTTGACTACTGTCCTATTCTTCAACTATCAGTTACTTGTCTAACTCCTTATTTGACCAGCTCTGGTTTCTAAGTTTATGTCACCTCCACACCCCCCCCCCCCCCAACCCATCCAGATAATCTGGATTCTCCTCTGATGTACAGGTCGCTTGGCCCAGGTGTCGTTAGCCACCTTCTTGTGTTACGCCATAGATAAGAGAGATAGGAACTTTTGTTCACCGTTGAAAGTCTCCTTACCTGTATATGCTACATAGATAGCATGGTATCGAGTCCTTATTCTGGTGCTGTATGGAGATGCAGTGTAGAAAAAAAAACAGTGGTTCTCAAAAAAAGTGAACATGGGAACAGAAGTATTTAGGGGATTATCTTTTTTTTTAAATTGATTTTCACACCATTGTTACCCCCTGTTGTCGAATATCATAATAAAAAGTCATACTACTCTCATAAAAACGTCAAAAAGCAACATCATGCAACTCTCCGGGGGAAAACACCCCATGGCACTAAAAATAAAAACTATGTCGGAAATAGGCCTATATAAATAGGCCTATATATATATATATATATATATATATATATATATATATATATATATATATACTTTTATAGGAACGGCGTGGTCTAATTGTATAGCGTTCGGTTGCTAACCCGAAAGTTTCGAGTTCGTAAGACGTCCCCAAGTACACCTTGCTATTGTAGTTATCTGACTTAAGTTAGCAAAAGTAAATGCGGCGGGCATTGTGCTGACCACACATCCCTTCAAATGCCGAGGTCACTGAAACAGGTAACTTTACTTCATGTGCCCTATGAACCGTAAGATTTCACAACGCACTTTACTTTTACTTTTTATATATAGCCCTACTTTACCCAGAGCCCCCCCCCCCCCCCCCTTCGGAAATAATTTTATCATTGAGTAAAAAGTAAAAGCAAAGTTGACATTTTTTACTATTCCAAATAAGTCTGATATCATCACCAATGCTGTTCTAAAATAAAAATACATATTGTTTCATAGTCAATCGATTTTCTACCCAAATAATTTTTTAGTGGTATCAGTATCAGCAAAGAAAAGCTCTCTAAGACTTTCCAATCTAATACCATCTTATTCACTTAAACACTAGAAAGTCTCGTGGTAGTTGTTTTTTACTAAGGTGGCAAGTATAGTATTACTCGGTGATAGTATTTTGGATGTTTGAGCAATAAACCTTACGTTTTGGTTTATGACTAAAAACAATTTTGTCCATGATCCCTGGGCCATTTGGCAAGTTGTTTCGGTTACATAATGCTGCCAGGTTTGATAAAATGAATGCCAAAACCTAAAATAATAAAACTCTTTAATCATAACACATCGATTCTGTAAATTTAGTAGATCGCACATAGTCTAGATCTAAGTAAAAGAAATTTTAATATATTGATTATTTTTACAACTGCATTTAAACAAACAGTAATTGTTAATCTATAAACCAATATCTACTTTAATCAATTTTTTACTACAATCAATTTTGGCTCAAGTTGATCGCGGGAAGTTAGAATCTGTCTGCTATTTTTGTTATGAAACTGAGTTAGTGAGTTAGTGTGTTAAGGACTGTTAGATTCGACCTTATCTCATCTTATCTAGATCTAGATCTAGATCTAGCTATTTAGATTTAGAACTCTACATCTAGATCTAGATTCTAAATCTATATACTTTTTTAGGCTATATAGTCTACATCTAAAAATCTAGAAATCTATATTCCAGTGAAAAGATTATGCTTCACTGTAAATAAAAAATATCACTGGACTGTTACTTCAGTGTTTGTGTTACTGTACTGTAACAGACAGTGTTACTTGTACAGTTACACTGTACACTAGTGTACACTACTGTAGTACTGTACAGTTAGACTAGACTGTTAGACATAGTGTTATACTGTTAGTGTTACTGTGAGACCTAGATCTAGCTGTTAGACAGAGTTAGAGATCTAGAATTCATTGAACATAGTTCTAGATCTAGATCTAGTACGTCTTATGACCGTCATAGTCATACACGTACGTAAACGTAGTAAATCTAGATTAGATAGTAGATAGATCTAGATCTATATTTTATTCTAGATTAGATTTAGATCTAGAAATCTACATAGATTCTATTGTATAATTATAATATAATCTATGTTACTACTTTGACTTCTTAGTTTTAGTGACCTTTTCTTTCTAACTCTTAGTTCTGAGTCTTGACTTGGCTAAAAGGCAAAAGTTACTTAAAACAAAAATAACTTACTTAGTCTAGCAACTAGATCTAGATCTAGATAACTAGAGTCTTGCTAGACTGTAGATTTAATTAGATCTGGAATCTATTCTAGATCTACTGCTGTTAAGTTCTACTCAAGAGAAATTACACTTGTAAATCACTTAATTAGTAGGGGGTCATCCATAAATGACGACATGCTTTTTTTGACGATTTTTACCTCCCCCCTCTCCTCCATCACACGTCATCACAAAAAGCCAGACCCTCCCCCCTAAAATGACGTCACACCTCAGCATACAACCCCCCTCAAAATTGCAGTTGAATTTTTTTTTAAACATGGATATTTTTCTAAAATTTTGTCTGAACTCTGTCAAAATAGAGTATTTTAATCAATTCCTATTACAATTTATTAAAACAGTTTTCTAAAACGCAAAATAACGTCTATAATTCGTTTTCTAACATTGCTTTTTGATAATGCAAAAGTGTGACGTCGCACCATCTGGACCCCCACTACCCCTCATCACACACCGTCACAAAATTACGGACCCCCCCCCCTCCCCCCTACGAGTGTGACGTCATTTATCGACGACCCCTAGGCCTAATACTATAATTAAGAATAGTTATTAACAGTCTCTAGCTACATTGACAGTTAAGAAGGGTATGAACACTGGTTGAAGTATAGTATAGACCTATAATTATAATTTGTCTAATTTGTCCAGGAGAGGGAAGATGTGGACAAGGTGGTGGTGGGGGGGGGGGGGGGGTTGCAGTGGATATCCCAGCACCCTCCCCTCCTAGAAACTCTCTAAATCTGGTTACTATTTAATAAGTATATAGGCCCTAATAATTAACACAATTAATTTTTGAATGACTTTAATAATAAATAGATATGATGTAAATATTTTACTATTATTTCTGTATGTTTGGCATATTTCTATTATTCCAAATACCCTTACAAAAATTAATCATTTTAATTACTGAATAGGTCTAATTAGGCTAATGGTCTCTTTTTTACCCCAAGCAGTAACTGGCCCTTTCATATCTGAATAATGGTGAACACAAAGGTTACTTCAAAAAACAAGCGGAGGCAGTCATTTGTACCCCCTTCTGGTAAGTACCCCTCTTTGTTTAATTACTTTTACAAGATCTTTCAGTGCTGAACAAAATTAATAAACTAAGTGTTAGTTGATGTTTTTTTTTTTTTTGCTTAATTGGAAAAAATAGGCCTATCTATCGGCTGAGGGCCTAGGTCTCAAAGTGTGGATCTTGTTATTATGTATTTTACTTCAGTCAAAACTGTGACAACTAGAAATGAAGGTTTAACTCAAAGATGAAGTAAAATTAGTAGGCATGATCTACTCATTATAGATGCATTCTTGCCCTTCTTTTTAGACCCTCTCTGATGATTTAAAACATTTGCTTAAGTTACGGAGAGTGACTCAGTCCTCTAAATTCCCCAACAAAGCTCGTATAATAATTTTACATTAGCTTTTTCCGTTGAGTCTGTTTCAAAATTGTCCTCAGCAAGCAGTGCTAAGCAAGCCAAACGAAGTGACAGTTCCTTTGATGATCAAAACAACTTGCTCTTTGAGATAACTTCTGAAGCGGGTCTGACATTAAATAATGGAGTTGACGCCAATGAAATCAGTAAAATACTAAATTGTGTTTATTTTCTTGTTACTTCTGAATTCTTCGTAAAGATAAAAGAAAGATTTTATATAACTTAAATTTTAATTTTGTCATTTTATGGTGTATTTTAGCAGATTTTTCAATCTTTCCTTTTCAACTATTAGCTATAAATAAATGTGCCAATCAATTTTCAGGTGTTTCGAGAGTTATATTTCAAAAACAGATGGGACTGGCTTTAAAAACACATAGCGGAGATCTGTTACAGGTGACTTGTGATCTCATGAAACTTGCGTCCTGTTACAAAACAAAAAATCAAATTTATTTGAAAGTTATCTTTTTTTTTGTATTTAATTTGATTGATCACACTAATAAGGATCTGTTTTTCAGAATGTTGAAACATTTATTGAAGACTTTGGAGATTACATAGATGACCCAAAGAGGTGAAAATGTGTTATAATGTGTTTAATTTAGTCAAAAACAGGATACTACAGCTGTTATCACTTTTGTGGTTACTGATACCATAAGGCTAGCGTTATGTTAACAGTAACACCTTAAATAATAAACCCAAATTTTTATCCTGCCTGCATTTTATTATGAATACTCTCATTTTTCCTAATATTTTCACTTAACTTGTATTGTAAAGAGATGAAATTTATTTATAATTCAATAATTGTATAGATAGTGTATTGATGTTTTTAATCACAGGTTTCACAAAAGTTTGATGCCCTCTACTTTCTCAGGGGAAGGCAAAAGGTAATGGAAATCAAATGAAAATTACTGATGCAATTGTTTTCAATAAAAATTGTAATAACACTTTAGCTGAACAACCTGTGTATTATGATGTACACTGTATCTCTAGCATAGTTTGTTGGTGATAAATAACTTTTTATATGCAAAAAAAAAGTGCTTGAAAAACTCAAGCTTAAGACTTAATTATTAAATTTTAATTCGTTGTATGTTTAAAAAAATATTTCAGTGTCCAGAATACAGTTCCAGATTCTGTTGTAAGACTACTGCTTGGAGTTGATGTCATCCAGGTAAACTAATAAGTGTCAAAAAATGTGTTCAGCAAATTTATATTACGCCTTTGTTTTTGTTTTGTCTTTGTTAGCAATGGCTAATAAATGTTTTGTAGAGTAAAGTTTTCTTTCAAACAGGTTGGTCTACGGGCAAGTGAAGTATAATAAATATTTTGAAATATCATTTTTGTTTTCGATGCAAAAAAAATCAGTAATTGTTTTACAGTATCAAACACAGTTTTTACTAAATTAAATATATTGTAAAATAAAGTTCCCTTTCAAACGGGACGGTCTACGGGGTAAGTGAAGTATAATACTATTTTGAAATATTATTCTGTTTTCAATGTAAAAGATAATCAGTAATTGTTTTACAGTATCAAACACAATTTTTACTAAATTTTTCTCCTTTTTGTGTGCTTTCAGTCCCCTTTGATGAATTTACTGCTTGATAAACTACAGCAGTTTACAGACGATGAAGATAAGTAAGAAAAATTTATTATCTTCAGCATGCCTAATATCTTGTTCAGATATAATCTAACAAAATATGTTCTGTCAGTAGTGCATAGAACAGACACATTGTATCTCCGTGTTTTGTTACAGCTTCATCTTTCAGAATGGCCAAAAAGTTTATATCCCTAGACTTCTACTCAGCCAGTTTAGGTTCCTAGACAGAATTGTTGATGGAAAGGTAACTCAATTTTTTTTCAATCTACATTTTAAGTATTTAAGTTTCAATTTTAAAATGGTAAATTAGCCTGACTTGGTTTTTACTTTTTTACTATTGTATTTAAAAATACGATTGTAAATTTTATTCAAATAGTATTGTTACGCAGTGTTTGTTTCTCACTTGCTATTTTTGTTGTCATGATTGAAGAAAGACTTTTTGTGATGTTCAGGAATTTAAAAAAAAAAAATTTAAAATGTCTCAAAGTTTAATACTTTTGAATATAGAATGTATGCCATATTTAGGAATTGTCTAAGAAACTTCTGGAAGTTTTGAGTACAACAGCTCTAGATGTGCAGAAGGAAATTATGGCTTGTATTCCTGACATCGTGGAGGACTCTGAGCATGGCGATGTAGCCAGAAAACTGAGGTACCACATATTTTAATGTATGTTAGACTGCGATAATTTAAATTTGCAAACTTCCTAGAGTGTGTTTTAGAAGATAAAAGAGGTACTATATATTTTAATGTATGTTAGACTGTGATAATTTAAATTTGCAAAGTTCCTAGAGTATGTTTTAGAAGAGTAGAAGATAAAAGAGGTACTACATATTTTAATGCATGTTAGACTGCAATAATTTAAATTTGCAAACTTCCTAGAGTATGTTTTAAAAGTATTGTACAAGGTGCCTTTTTCTGTGACAAAAAATATATATTTTTTGTTTTTCAAATGTACAATAAAAATTAGAGATGAACTGATGAGCAATAAAGCTTTGATTTGTCCAGTGATTGATGCTTTAACCTACCTGAATATTTCTTCAGATTTAGTTGTTGAAGTAAGTATGAAAATTGTTGTTGCTATTTCTACTATAACTAGTTTTAGTCACTGTAAAACATTCATAGGGTTTACATAAAGCTTTCTTTAGACATATCATAATATGCTCAGCACAGTTTGACTAAGATTGTTTTGTGATTGTGTAATATTCCTTCATGTTTTTTATGAAAAGTAAATTGAATTATATTATTTCTATTTGAATTTTTGTGTAGGTTCGCAACTCTGTAGTAGATATCCTCAAATCTTTCAGTCTACACGACCTCCCGATTGTCATTAATTTCTTGCTGCAATCTGTTACCTCACAGGATGCCTTGGAGGTTTCTTGTTTGTTTGTTTAATTAGGGTTAAATTAGTAGGGCTTCTATGTTTGCGTGTTTCACATACAACAACTTTCATAACACTGATGTATCATGTACTGGAAAGCTTGTAAATAGTTTAACACCAAGCTTATGTTATTTTTTTAATAATTTTTTAGAAAGATTTTTATATTGCATTTTATTTTGGTATTTATATTATATTTTACATCTTCCAGGTTGTGAATGAGATCAGATCCAGCATTGATTTAGTGGCTTATCTTACCTCTAAAAAGGAAGATTCAGAAAAGTGAGCACAGAAGTATTTTTATTAAATTATGAAACACTGATACTTTTAAAAGTTTTGATGTGGTAGTCTATGTTACATAACTTAACATAACTGTTGTTCATTGTGTGATCCATTTGAGTAGCTAGTAGAAAGAATATTTAATGCTATCTTAAATATCATCATTATTCTTAGGATAAAAACCAGCGTTAAATTAACCATTGACGCACTTAAAGGAAGAATACAATTCCAACGAGTTGTTGCTGATGCTTGGGTCAAGGTAAAGTTGGACCATAAATAACCAAATTAGCTCTTATTTCAAGCAATTAAAATGTAACTAGCCTTATCAGCTGTTTACTTTTCATCTTTTGTGATTACCCATTTCAAATATTTTACACACTGTTAAGATTTTTTTATCTAAAAAAAAATTTAAAGAGGTCACTTACTACTTGAACTAGAAAACAAAAGTAATAATAGTTTTAAAATTTACTTTGTAAACCATGAACATGACAAGATTGGAACTTCTACCCACTAGGCTCTCGATGCTGCCAAAGACTTCACTGTGATCGATGTCTTTGTCTTGCTGATTCTCCACTGGCTAAACAATAAGAAAACTGTAGAGAGTGTGGTGCGGAACAAAATACGCTCTGGTGTTATCACAGAGGTGCTGCTCAGTAAAGCATTCACATCATTTACAATGGTATGTTGTTTTTGTTTTATTAGTTAAAGAAGCTTAATAAATGTTAAATTGTTTAAAATTATGTCTGTAGGACATCCTTGAGTCCATCTAGCTCTGATGGGTACCTGACTTACGTTAGGGAAACTAAGGCAGCTGGGCTTAGTGCTGACCACACTACTCCCCTGTATGGCAAGGTAGGTTAATCGAACTGATGTGTCTTGGGACCAAACAGGAAAAGATTATAAGATGTATAGTAACTGAAATATAGAAACAAATAAAGCGTTTACACATGATTGGGGACAGTGGTCAAATGTTGAGCTGATGATTACTAAACCTAAATTCTCAAGTTTATATCTTGTAGGACATACCTGGGCCCACCCAGCTCTGATGGGTATCTGACTTACATTAGGGAAGCAATTGCAGCTGGGCATAGTGCTGATCACATTATCCCCCTGTATGCCAAGGTCATTTAAACAGATGAAATCTACTTTATCTGCCCCATGTGTCGTGGGCACGAACGGAAAATATAATGGATAACACATTAGATAAAACCTATCAAACTGTGTATGCATCAAGACTCATTAATTATATCTGTCACTGCAGGTGATGAGAGATTATTTCCCATCCATCTTGTCTGTGGCCCAGTCACTACTTCGCTCACCAGAGCCGTCTGTGTGTTACATTGGATGTTTCATGTACAAGATGTCCTTCTCATCGTTTGACTCCTGCAGCAAACAGGTCAGGAGGTGGTTCTGTGTATTATATTAACCTGATAAAAATGGAATGTTAACAGCATACAGTTTTACTTGAGTAGAAGCTAAAGTAATAAAAAAGATAATTTAAGCTATCAAATAACAAATAATTTTTTTATTATAACTATCTATTGATATGCATTTTGTATCATGTTTGCAAAAAAAAAATTAAACTTTTTTTGTAGATTAATTTGTAAAGCAATATTTTTGCTTCTAGCTATTTAAATAGATTAAAAACATTAAAAAATATTGTGATGTTGTAAATCAGGAAATTGTGGGAAAGCTGGTGAACCACATTGGGAGTGGGTTTGCTGGAGAAATTGAATCCTCACTAAACATCTTGGCTGACTTGGTTAGAGATGAGATCCTTGCCATGACCCGCTTTGCTGCTTATTTAAAGGTAATTTTTTTTTTTAATTCTACAACTACTAATTCAAAATAGAATCACTAATAGAATTATTTTGCCCGTTATTTAAAACTGTAATGATGGCTAAAATATTTACAACACCCAGCAGTTTTATTTGTTAAAAAAAATGTACTAACAGAACTTTTGCTTCAAACTACAGCGTGTCCTGGACTATTTAGACCACAACAACTTAACTGTGGCCCAAATAAAGAAGTTGTACCTGCTGCTGGCCAAACTGGCATTCCATCCCTCGCAGGACGGCAGCTGTCTACAGGTAAAGAAGACAGTAAAAATATTATTAATCTTTTTTGTACTATTGACCTTTCTCTTTTTAGCTCAGTAAGTTTATGTAAGTTCTTAATAAGTGTCTCATTGTACTAGCTTTTATCATGGTTGACATATTTTTTTAAATTGTTTTTTTACTGTTGCTTTAGTTTGTTCTGGCATTTATTTAGTTAGACAACACAACTTATTAACACAAGATTAGGATGTGAAATCTGGCAATTGTGTACTTAACAGTAAAAAGTAAAGTTCCCTGTCAAACCTTATGGTCTATGGGGCAAGTGACGTAGAATTCGCCTTTTTCTGTGACCTCGGCATATGAAGGGATAGTGTGGTCAGCACTATGCCCAACCACCTTTACTTACCCTAACGAAAGTTAGGTACCCATCAGAGTTGGGTGGACTCTAGGACGGTCTACTTACTTAAACTAGGAATTGAACTAGAGACTTATGGGTTAGCAGTCCAGCTCTCTACCGCTAGGCCACTCCATCCGAGTGCAGTGTAAATGTGACAATTTTTATTGTTTTAATGTCATGCTTATTTAGCCTTTAAGTGTTCATTTTAATAAATTACTTTGTTTTCTAGGATGATCTTCATATCATCATTAGAAAACAGCTAACTAGCTGCAATCCAAAGTGAGTTAACTTTCTCTTTATGAGTTTGATTTATTATCTTTTTATAATTTGCTTGAGCTGTAAAGAAATAGGTGTGTTCAGAGCCTCATTTTGTTTTCTTTGATACAACAGTCAAGAAGAAGGCAATATTGTGATCTGTCTCTCACAGGTATAAGAGAATGGGTGTGATGGGAGCCTTATCTATTATACATGCAGTGTCAGAGACTACCAAAGATAATGAAGCTTTACCTAATGAGGAGCTAAAGCAGGTATGGGTTCAGTTGGTCACTTGAGGGGTAGGTAGGTTCTCGCTGTGAAGGAAAAGCTAGCTGGGCTTGATGCTGATTACACAAGACCATTAAGTGTTAAGAAAACTCAGCTTAATTAACCCTAATACAAATTACTGAGAATCTCTTATTGACTTTGATGCTGTATTTTTTAAATTGCTTTAAAACAAATGTTATTAGAATAATTCTCTACCCTAACTTTCTAATGCCAACTTTGTACTACATTAAATATACAAAAACTGTTGAGTGTGGTGTGACGAAATTGAATCAATTACACACACCTAATACCACCCCTACTCAAAGTTACTTACCATACAGCAAAGTATGGAACCTGAAATTCTGTACAGTTCCTTATATTTTGTACTCTGCCTTGGCATTCAATAGAACTAAATAAATTGTAGAACTAGCTTATTCCACCCAAAGTTCCAAAATATTTCCTAACCTTAAAATTAACGAGCAGGTAGGTTTAGGGTTAGGTTTATGATCAATTTGTGATTGACAGTGTTTGGGTTGGAGGGTAATGTACAAGGGTGTGACATCCTGTACCACTATTATACTCTCTATCCTATGTTCTACTCTACTCTTTTCATTGTGAATCAGGTGCTTCAGCTGCTAGAGCTTGTGAACACCAGTGGCAAGAGAGATCCAGCCACCGCTGCCTTGTTCATGGACAGTCTAGCCGCCATGATCTCATCAGGAGAGCTGCCTGGCAATGTGGTGGAATGGATCGCACAGAACATGACCAGTGGTAAATATTGTGTTCACCTTGCTCTGTGGAAAATTGAGAAAGAATGTTTAGGCAGTGGAGCATTTCATGGACCCCCTAATTTACAGCTGTCATACCTTAAATTTCGCTTTAGAAGATTTTTTTTTTTGTTTTTTTTCCCCATTTCAATTTTTTTATTTTGATCAGTTTTTAATTTCTTTTAATTACGTTTTTTCCCCCTTTTGAAACAGATTTTGAAGAAAATTATGTGGTGGATCTGGTTGAAGATGCTGAACTAAAGACAAAATGCTTGGTGCCTGTTGATGGGCTGTTTGGTTTAAACAATGAAGAGGAAAGCACCATTGTCATTAGCTTGATCCCATTAGTGGAGAAATTCTGCGAGGGACAGAAAATCGAGTAGGTTGCTTTTAATCAATTTTAATAATAGTTTTTATTTAAATAGATTTTTTTTTTATATATTCTATCACATGTTCACTATTCTTACACTTTAAAATTTGTAATTATCCTCAACTACAAAATATCTACAAAACAAATTTACATATTTTTTGATTGCTGTGAATTTGATATTAATGAGTAAAGTGGTTGAAGTTGAATAACTAAGTGAAACTTATCCTGTCATCCAACTAGGATATATTCCTCCTTGCTATTATGTTTACCTCCCTTGTTTTCGACTAATTCTATCACAGATCATTACACATCCCCTTGTGCTTAAATCCCCTGTTGTTATGTTTACCTCCCTTGTTTTCCACTAATTCTATCACAGGTCATCACACAGCCCCTTGTGCTTAACTCCCCTGTTCCACCTAGTCACAGCCTGCGAGATGAGGCAGTCCAATGAAAACTTGGAGAACATTGATGCCCTTCTAGGGTGTCCCCTGTTCATGATCAAGCCAGATGTGTACGACAAGTTTGACTCCCTCGCTCCCAAAGAAAAGGACGTTGTTTGTGCAGGGCTTTTCTTCTGCATCAACTGGTTTAGAGAAGTTATAAATAGCTTTGCTGCAATGCCCCAGCCTGAGATGAAAGGCAAGGTAAATCCCCAATTTATTATATACAGGTCAATATAGCTTATCTATTTTTTACTAAATTTTACATTACTTAAAAGATATTATTGGATAAGCTTTCACACTTTGATTTTCACATCAACTTTTATTAGCCAAGTCGGAATAATCACAAAATGATTATCATTAGTTGGGTTCACACTATTCAAATGTGTTTATTTAGCTATTTAAGGCATAATTTCTGTCTCCTTCAATTTTTATATACAGTAGGTTTTTTTTTTATTGGTTATACTTTAAATGAGGCTAGAGATATATATAGAGTTGGGGTAATTGTCAGAGTTAGGGTAGCAATCCTATTAACAAAGTAACCTCTTTGATAGCATCCTACTGTTATTTTATTGACTTTCTACTTTCTGTTTCCCCTCCACCCAGGTTATAATGAGGTTAAACCACATCACACAACTCATGTCAGCGCTGGAGCGATGCCTAGCCAGCCACCCGACCTTTCAACCCCCCATGGCTATATTTGACATGGAGGCAACTCCAGTTGTTGTAGCCGCAGCTGTTCCAACCACCTCAGGGGCAGAGAAGAAAAAGGGAAGGAAGCCAGCCGGAAAGAAAAAGAAAGGGAAACCACTCACTGATTCTACCATCAACACATCAGATATTGACGAAACATTTTTTCCTTCACAACCTGCTGAATCTGAGTCGACTGGGAATAAAAAAGATAAAACCGTCGACCTTTCAAATTTCAAAAAACATTTTCGGGAACTGGATTTCAAAGTTTTTACAATTCTGAAAACAGGTATCATCACAAGAGCGGCTCTGGATTCTGAGATGAACACGAAAGCGACCGAGCAACTCCAGATAGGAGTACCACAGCTGTGTTTTCTGTTGGAGGACCTGTCCAGTAAACTCTCTCACTCTCTGTTGACCTCCGCCTCAAAGAGGAGGACCTTCTTCAGAACCAAGGGAGATAAAAATGTTGGGTTTTCGCTTTTGGAAAACCACTCGCCACGCGAGATAGTCACACAGGTCGTTGAACTACTGCCGAGCTTGTGTGACCATCTAGAGGAGGCTTGTACGTATTTCCAGACTCAAACATCAGACGACAGCGTTGTGGGCGAGGACGCCACTAGAGTTTTAGACGAGTCGGCTAAAATGGCCTGCTGTTATAACTTGCTGTTGAAGTGTATTATCTCCCTTCTGTCGTGGAACGGGTTCTGCAGTGAGGAAAACAAAACACTGCTGGTGGACTCCCTGATGGTGATGGTCCGCAGGATTCGTGTGGCTCAGGATGCGAGCTCTTCTGTGTCCCTGTCTGATGCCCTCAGGTAATTTTATTTCCCCTGGTTAAAAAAATAATATGCAAAACTATCGAGTTTGGATACCAGGCTTGTGTTCGTATGATGTCCCTGAGTCCAACCAGCTTTGATGGGTACCTGACTCTCATTTTAGAGATGCGGGGCAATTAGCTGATCCCTTAATATGTCAATGTCACTAAAAATAGGTGAACTCTACCTCGCCTGCTCTATCGACCATGAGGTTGGCAAAATTATTTTTTTCATAAACTAGTTTTATAGACACATTAAATAACGTGCTTTTCTTTAGAGATGAGGAATCATCTGTTTTTAAGAACTGTCTGAAAAAATTTAAAACACGTACACAAACAACAGTAAACCTCTTCTGCTGAAACTAGCATATTTAGCAAAGTATTTTATTGAAATAAAGTAATACAAATTACCTTTTAAGTTAATTGTCATGTTATCAGGTGCTTTCAGATTTTTCATGTACTCTCCAACTGTGCTCTCAGATATTTTGTCTACTCTACAGCTGTGCTCTTAGATATTTTGTCTACTCTCCAGCTGTGCTCTCAGATATTTTGTCTACTCTCCAGCTGTGCTCTCAGATATTTTGTCTACTCTCCAGCTGTTCTTTCAGATATTTTGTCTACTCTCCAGCTGTGCTCTCAGATATTTTGTCTACTCTCCAGCTGTGCTCTCAGATATTTTGTCTACTCTCCAGCTGTGCTCTCAGATATTTTGTCTACTCTCCAGCTGTGCTCTTAGATATTTTGTCTACTCTCCAGCTGTGCTCTCAGATATTTTGTCTACTCTCCAGCTGTGCTCTCAGATATTTTGTCTACTCTCCAGCTGTGCTCTCAGATATTTTGTCTACTCTCCAGCTGTGCTCTCAGATATTTTGTCTACTCTCCAGCTGTGCTCTCAGATATTTTGTCTACTCTCCAGCTGTGCTCTCAGATATTTTGTCTACTCTCCAGCTGTGCTCTCAGATATTTTGTCTACTCTCCAAATGGGCTCTCAGATATTTTGTCTACTCTCCAACTGTACTCTCAGATATTTTGTCTACTCTCCAAATGTGCTCTCAGATATTTTGTCTACTCTCCATCTGTGCTCTCAGATATTTTGTCTACTCTCCAAATGTGCTCTCAGATATTTTGTCTACTCTCCAGCTGTGCTCTCAGATATTTTGTCTACTCTCCAGCTGTGCTCTCAGATATTTTGTCTACTCTCCAAATGTGCTCTCAGATATTTTGTCTACTCTCCAAATGTGCTCTCAGATATTTTGTCTACTCTCCAGCTGTGCTCTCAGATATTTTGTCTACTCTCCAGTTGTGCTCTCAGATATTTTGTCTACTCTCCAGCTGTGCTCTCAGATATTTTGTCTACTCTCCAAATGTGCTCTCAGATATTTTGTCTACTCTCCAAATGTGCTCTCAGATATTTTGTCTACTCTCCAAATGTGCTCTCAGATATTTTGTCTACTCTCCAGCTGTGCTCTCAGATATTTTGTCTTCTCTCAGATATTTTGTCTACTCTCCAGCTGTGCTCTCAGATATTTTGTCTACTCTCCAGTTGTGCTCTCAGATATTTTGTCTACTCTCCAGCTGTGCTCTCAGATATTTTGTCTACTCTCCAAATGTGCTCTCAGATATTTTGTCTACTCTCCAACTGTGCTCTCAGATATTTTGTCTACTCTCCAAATGTGCTCTCAGATATTTTGTCTACTCTCCAGCTGTGCTCTCAGATATTTTGTCTACTCTCCAGCTGTGCTCTCAGATATTTTGTCGTCTCTCCAGCTGTGCTCTCTGATATTTTGTGTGCTCTCCAACTGTGCTCTAAGATATTTTGTGTGCTCTCCAGCTGTGCTCTCAGATATTTTGTGTACTCTCCAGCTGTGCTCTCAGATATTTTGGTAACCTGGTTGAGACCAGCCCTGACCTTGACACTGCCGTCACCCTGATCAAGCTTCTGATGGTTCTGGCAGACAAATGTCAGAGTGAAGAGCTCAATGAAAAACTGGGTAACTTTCTTTGTTTATTTATTATTGCTAGTAATATAAACTTATGGAATTTATAAAAAATAATACTTAAATTACTGATTTATTAATTACTTAAAAGACTGCGCAACTTTTTAAATTCTAAGAATAAAAAAAATTGATGTTAAACCTCAGCAAATCTGGATGGGAACTTTGTGGTTGGATGGTACATTATAATAAGTTTTGATCCCAGTCTTGAGTCAACAAGACTTCCCTAAGTCCACCCTGCTCTGATGGGTGTTGGACTCAAGTTAGGGAAAGCAAAGGTGGCTGGGCCTAGTGATGACCACATAATCCCTTTATATGCCAATGTCACAGAAATAAATAAACTCCACTTCATCTGACCCTCGGGTTTTAAAATGGGAACTTTTTCTCCCTAAAACCTTATAATTGTTTTACTGTCATATGCTCTGATGGTTTTGAACCCCTTTCATCTAGTGGCACATGCCAAGACTTTCCTGTGTCGAGACTGGCGTGGAACAGATGGGGAGAGACTGAAAGGAGCAAAGCACACCGCCAACCTGCAGGTGATCATCACCACATACATAGTCTACAGCACTGAACCTCTGGAGTCTCTGGAAGAACTTGCCACTAAAGGTCTGGCTGAGCTGGCCAACATGGACAAGAAAGGCTGTGCTGATGAGTTTGCTTCTCTCAATAGGTGCCGGATACTTTGTTTATAGTGTGTTGTTGGTCAGTTTTTGTTAACATTGTGTTATTGACCAGTCTTTGTTATTATTGTTGGCCATTTTTTGTTTATATTGTGTTGTTGGTCAGTCTTTGTTTACATTGTGTTGTTGGCCAGTCTTTGTTTACATTGTGTTGTTTGTCAGTCTTTGTTTATACTGTGTTGTTGCCCAGTCTTTGTTTATATTGTGTTGTTGGTCAGTTTTTGTTTTTATTGTGTTGTTGGTCAGTCTTTGTTTATATTGTGTTGTTGGTCAGTCTTTGTTTATATTGTGTTGTTGGTCAGTCTTTGTTTATACTGTGATGTTGGACAGTCTTTTTTTATTATGTGTTGTTAACCAGTCTATATTTATTTTTTGTATTGTTGGCCAGTCTGTGTTTATATTATGTTATTGAGATGTTAGGGGGGGAGGGTAATTTGATTACTTCCCATTTGTTTTTGTTATTATTCTGGGTTGGGGAAGAAGTAAGACATGCGCAAATAAATTTTATTTTTCTATAGATTTTCTAGCTGATCACTATCAATTCCCAAAACAAATTTTCCCTCCCCAACAGGCAGACATTGCCAATATTTTATAAAGTCCTGCTGTGTGAACTGATCAACAAGCTGAAGAGAATCCCGGCCAGCAAGAAGAGTGACCCTGAGAGTGTCCAGGAGGACAAGCTCCTCTTATGGACCCTGGCGGTCAAGGTTCTTCATGTGGCCGTCAGCCTGACCAAAGTCTTCAGTGCCCGCAGTAACCTGGGCGCTGCCTTGAAGTACGGGCGTCAGTTCCTGGAGATATTTCTGCGCCAGTGCATGCCATTGTTGGACATAACCTTCAGGCGGCATCATAGTGATGTGGAGAGATTGTTAAAGACATTGCAGCAGAGCACTCGGATGCTGCACCATCTGTGTGGTCACTCTAAGGTTAGCATAAATTTTGTGTGGTCACTCTATGGTCAGCATAAATTTTTTTTGGTCAATCTAAGGTCAGCATAAATTTAGTGTGGTCATTCTAAGGTTAGCATAAATTTTGTGTGGTCACTCTATGGTCAGCATAAATTTTTTTTGGTCAATCTAAAGTCAGCATAAATTTAGTGTGGTCATTCTAAGGTTAGCATAAATTTTGTGTGGTCATTCTAAGGTTGGCATAAATTTTGTGTGGTCACTCTAAGGTTAGCATAATTTTTGTGTGGTCACTCTATGGTCAGCATAAATTTTTTTTGGTCAATCTAAGGTCAGCATAAATTTAGTGTGGTCATTCTAAGGTTAGCATAAATTTTGTGTGGTCATTCTAAGGTTGGCATAAATTTTGTGTGGTCACTCTAAGGTTAGCATAAATTTTGTGTGGTCACTCTATGGTCAGCATAAATTTTTTTTGGTCAATCTAAGGTCAGCATAAATTTAGTGTGGTCATTCTAAGGTTAGCATAAATTTTGTGTGGTCACTCTAAGGTCAGCATAAATTTTGTGTGGTCATTCTAAGGTTGGCATAAATTTTGTGTGGTCACTCTATGGTCAGCATAAATTTTTTTTGGTCATTCTAAGGTTAGCATAAATTTTGTGTGGTCATTCTAAGGTTAGCATAAATTTTGTGTGGTCATTCTAAGGTTGGCATAAATTTTGTGTGGTCACTCTAAGGTTAGCATAAATTTTGTGTGGTCACTCTATGGTCAGCATAAATTTTTTTTGGTCAATCTAAGGTCAGCATAAATTTAGTGTGGTCATTCTAAGGTTAGCATAAATTTTGTGTGGTCACTCTATGGTCAGCATAAATTTTTTTTGGTCAATCTAAAGTCAGCATAAATTTAGTGTGGTCATTCTAAGGTTAGCATAAATTTTGTGTGGTCATTCTAAGGTTGGCATAAATTTTGTGTGGTCACTCTAAGGTTAGCATAAATTTTGTGTGGTCACTCTATGGTCAGCATAAATTTTTTTTGGTCAATCTAAGGTCAGCATAAATTTAGTGTGGTCATTCTAAGGTTAGCATAAATTTTGTGTGGTCATTCTAAGGTTGGCATAAATTTTGTGTGGTCACTCTAAGGTTAGCATAAATTTTGTGTGGTCACTCTATGGTCAGCATAAATTTTTTTTGGTCAGTCTAAGGTCAGCATAAATTTAGTGTGGTCATTCTAAGGTTAGCATAAATTTTGTGTTGTCACTCTAAGGTCAGCATAAATTTTGTGTGGTCATTCTAAGGTTGGCATAAATTTTGTGTGGTCACTCTATGGTCAGCATAAATTTTTTTTGGTCATTCTAAGGTTAGCATAAATTTTGTGTGGTCATTCTAAGGTTAGCATAAATTTTGTGTGGTCATTCTAAGGTTGGCATAAATTTTGTGTGGTCACTCTAAGGTTAGCATAAATTTTGTGTGGTCACTCTATGGTCAGCATAAATTTTTTTTGGTCAATCTAAGGTCAGCATAAATTTAGTGTGGTCATTCTAAGGTTAGCATAAATTTTGTGTGGTCACTCTAAGGTCAGCATAAATTTTGTGTGGTCATTCTAAGGTTGGCATAAATTTAGTGTGGTCATTCTAAGGTTAGCATAAATTTTGTGTGGTCATTCTAAGGTTAGCATAAATTTTGTGTGGTCATTCTAAGGTTGGCATAAATTTTGTGTGGTCACTTTAAGGTTAGCATAAATTTTGTGTGGTCACTCTATGGTCAGCATAAATTTTTTTTGGTCAATCTAAGGTCAGCATAAATTTAGTTTGGTCATTCTAAGGTTAGCATAAATTTTGCGTGGTCACTCTAAGGTCAGCATAAATTTTGTGTGGTCATTCTAAGGTTGGCATAAATTTAGTGTGGTCATTCTAAGGTTAGCATAAATTTTGTGTGGTCATTCTAAGGTCAGCATAAATTTTGTGTGGTCACTCTATGGTCAGCATAAATTTTGTTTGGTCACTCTAAGGTCAGCATAAATTTAGTGTGGTCAATCTAAGGTCAGCATAAATTTTGTGTGGTCACTAAGGTTGGAATAAAATTTTCTTGTGTGATTTAATTTAGGTTAGGGTGGTGTGCGGAGGCCAATCTTAGGTCACCAGATTTTTTGTGTGTCTTATAATAGCCATGATGTATGTATGATGATCATTCTTAGGTTGGCATGATTTTCTGTGGTCATTCTAAGGTTGGCATAATTCTCTGTGGTTGATTAGTCTAATTAATGTTAGCCTATTGCTATGTTGTTTATTCATCCTCCTAAGTGACCACTTAGAATTAACCAAAAGCTTTTATTGTTCTAACTTAGGTTTCATTCAACCAGATATTCACTACATATGAGAACTTTACAGCTAATGTTGTTGTCCTAGTGTAAATTGGAATAGTGTTACAGTTACCATTGTTGTCCACAGATTACTAAAGATGTGGCACTGACCAACCAAGTGCCACTGTTGAAAAAAGCCTTGGAGACTTTTGTGTTTAGGGTTAAAGCTATGCTGGCCTTAAACAACTGCCAAGATGCATTCTGGGTGGGAAATCTAAAGAACAGAAATCTTCAGGTTTGTCTTGGTTTTGTGTACTAGAGTAACTTTCTTTGGGGTTGTATATGTGTAATTTGTGCTAGTATAGTTGTTTGTTTATTGGTTGGTGTACATACTTAATGTTGTATTCCTATTAATAGTTTTATATTTAACGAGCCGACCCGCGGTGTATCATACGCCGCTATTTAGTTGTTGTTTTATTTCTACTTTACAGTAATTCATAAAATATGAATTCGACAGTACCAATGCTGCCACTGAAAATATTTGCTTTAAAACACTACCCCCCCCCCCCCCCCCCCCCCCCCGTGAAAGCAGCCTCCTCTTAGTTACCTCCTCTAAGTTTAAAATCGGTTCAAACTAAATTATCTGCCCCTAATAGCCGTCACCAAATCCGGCTTGTAAACATTTAGCGTGAACTACAACTCACCTGACCATGTGAGGTGGGGGGGGGGGGGGGGGGTGGTAGCGATAGAGAGGAAGAGAGTGGACTGCAAGGCGCGCTTGCAGCTTGTTTTCTAACGTCTCCCAGAAGAGAATTATATATATAGATCATGTGTTATGAAAGAAAATGTTTTTATTTGAAAATTTTATTGTCATTACCCAACCAGGGAGAAGAAATTCTAACCCAGAATTCTGTAGCAAACAGTGGTCAAGCCAGTGGGGATGAAGAAGAAGAGGACGAGGAAAATCAAGCTGATGATGATGAAGAGAGTGATGTTGAGATGACCCAGGCAGAGGAAGAAGGGTCTAAAATCACTGGCGGGTCTTACAGTGAAATTTTTTAGGGACTGAATTGTGTTTTTGTTGTTGCCTGCGTTAAGATTTCTTACTGCACTGTATTTTAATTTTTCTGGCTGTTAATTTAAACCAATGCAACTGCTTGTTGATCTATTCAGACAAAGCCATTTTAAATTAAAAATAAGTTTTGTATACAGTGAAACCTGTTAAAATACTTTGTTCCTGTGAAGGACGCCAATTTTTTTTTTTTTTAAATAAAATTTAATTTTATAATTACGAGTGCTTTCTAAGCAAGGATAGCTTCCTATTGTTGAAAACTGGTTGTTTTTATTTAAATCTTATTTATTTACAATGCTCGTTGTAAAAGTCTACAGGTTTATCCTGCTAGTAGAATCAATAGGTAACAGATTTAAATGAGCCAGTAGCACACACAAGGCAAACTGGGCAGATTTTTATCTCCCTTTAAATTATTCCTGAGCAGAGATTCTGTATACGTTTTTTTAATGTTGGCTGAGTAAAGTATGGACCTGATTTTGAAAGACAAATTAAAGCTGCTGTTGTTAAAGTTTTAAGTTTTCAAATACTTCCACACATCAACTTGATGAGACGCCAAAGTTGTTAAATGACAGTCATAGAAAAAAAAGAAAACTAATAATTATAATATGTACTTATATTAACAGAGCATTTACATTTTCATGAAAGTAATTCTATTATTGTCATTGTATTTAGCTACAAGAAGTTGTTTATGACTGACTTTTGAAAGCTGTTTTTTGTACAAAATTGTGTTCATTAATAATATACAACATAAAGGGATTATGCATGTTATAAAATGCACTAGTGGAGTTGTTAATTATTAGTTATATTGTGTAAAATGGGGGAGGGGTGATATACAGCAATGTTATTGCTGAATTTCTTTATTATTTAGTCTCTTCTATTTCAAAGTTTTGCATCAACAATATGATACAACTTAATTAACTAAATAGCAATTTTAAAAAAAAAAAAGGCTTTTCCAATTTTCTATAGAAAACTATTTACCCTATAAACACTTTGCTTGTGGTACACACTTGTATCATTACTTGTAGTTAGGTAGTGGTCTTAGGAAATTTTTAAATAACTAAATACGGGTTTTTAAAAATAGATACAAAATTAAACATTTTTTTGTTAAAATGTGCACAATCTCTTAACTTAACCTTATCTCATGCTTTCAAAACATTTCCAATGACAGTAATAATGTTATTTGTATTTTAAAATAAAATATTTTGTAATATTAATAAATGATAAAATAATGCTTCTGCGTGTTCTTCAAAATGTTTCTTTCCACTCTAGGCCTACACCACAACATAGAGATTAAGTAGTAGATCTGTCATTAGTTGGGAGGTCCTCACAGCTGAGTTTAATAAAGAGACATTTCTCTTTACACCACCCCTCTCCCTCCGATTTTTTTATTTTGGATCAAAATTGCTGTTAGCTTTTTTTTTTTTTTTTTAGTGGGATCGAGCAATGGAGTGAACTATTCTATTCCTAGCAACTATTCCATACCTGGGTTCCCCAATTTGTTTGGATTGGGCATCTGTGTTGACCTCAAAATTTTCTCTTGTCGAGAGGTCACTAACACAGGTGAACTCTACTTTATCTGCCATTTTGATCGTCAAGACAGACCGGACATTGACCCCATGATGATGTAACTGAGAAGACGGCACGGTCATTCTGAAAGGGATTCATACCCGCAGTTCATTTTTTGGCTTACACAAATAAAATATCTAACACGAGCCGACCCGCGGCGTATCATACACCGCTATTTAGTTGTTTTATTTTCTACTTTTCAGTAATTCATAATTTGTGAATTCGACTGTACCAACGCTGCCACTGAAAATATTTCTTTAAAACACCATAAGTAGCACGTTAAGGACCATAACCCCCCCCCCCCTTCCGTTAAAGTAAACTCCACTTAGTTTCTCCCACCCCCCACCCCCCACGTTTAAAATCGTTTTAAACTAAATTATCTGCCTCTAATAGTCGTCACTAAACCATGCTCTGCTTGTAAACATTTAACGTGAACCACAGCTCACCAAACCATGTGGGGGTGGTAGGGAGCGCGCTTACAGCTTGTTTTCTAGCGTCTCCCAGAAGAGAATTATATATAAAGATAGATTATTCTTCACAAATCGATATTAAGACAACTCTTCACACTTAAGACTGAAGAAAGATAACTGAGTCGAGGTATTTAAGAGGGATAACTAAGAAAAGATTAAGTAGGTCTATAAGTTAAAAAAAAATAGGCCCGTCAAATAACTACAACACACAACAAAGATGGCTTAGAGCTATTTTTTTTAAATAATTATTCCGCTTTTTTTTGCATACCGTCTGTATGTTAAGTGCACCATTACTTGGCACCACTTTCCACTCATTTCGAACGTTGTTTTCTTAAATATAAGTAAACAAAACATATTGATCCTTATTAGGGTGGTATTCTTATTTTTAGCTACAGAAAATGTTCTCCAAATGCCAGAAATGTTTTCTAATAAACGCACTAGTTCTCTGCCTGACCATTCACTACGGCAAGTATTTATTTTTTGCACGTATGTGCCGTCATGATTCACTTGTACCCACCGATGTCGATGCTTTCACCATAAGGCTTCGTTACGTGAGATATTAGTTACGTCCCTTACTTTTATAATCGGAGATCGCCGGTACGGCAATACGCTTCCCAGTAAAAAGCGCACACAAAAAAAGCGCAAACAGAAATGTGCGCCCATTGAAACATGTTCACTGAGAAAAATAAAAATGTGCAGAGAAAAGTGAGCACACTTAAAATGCGCAAATAGAAAATTGCGCACACAGAAATGCGTACACTGAAAAATGCGCACACAAATTATAAGCGCATAATTTAAAATATGCATATTGAAAATTGCGATCGAAGAAAAAATTGCGCCATAAAGAAAATTCCACACAGCACAGCTATGAGAATTAGGCAGTATGTGTTTATTTTTATACAAGCGTGTTTCAGTTTCTAAGTTTCATTTTTTTTTGTTTTAACAACCCCCACGCCTCTTTTTATTCTGTATGAATAGTTGTAGGCTTACGTGTGAGTTTTATCTGTATCGATGCACATTTCTCTTTTGTATTCACTCATGTTGTACTGTAATCAATTCACATTTTTTAACTGAGCTGTAATCGGTTCATATCTTTTTTTGTTTTGTTTTTTATTGTGTGTAGTTCTGGACGTCAGTTGTGAAAATGTAGGTCAAGAAAAGTCGACGCCCAATCCTGCGAAGGCCAACGTCCAGCGCCACGCCCCGAACTTGACCCAGAAAGTTGATCAGCTGCGCAAAAAGTTAATTTTGTTACGACAAAAAGGAACGGATTTATTAAACGCGCAAACGGTAATAATCTATATATATATATAATTCTCTTCTGGGAGCCGTTAGAAAACAAGCTGCAAGCGCCTCCTTGCAGTCCCCTCTCTTTCTCTCTATCACTATCACTACCACCCCCACCCCACCCCCACATTGTCTGGGGAGTTGTGGTCACGCTGTTTACATTTTACAATCATAGAGACGGGTTTGGTGACGGCTATTTGGGGCAGATAATTTAGTTTGAAACGATTTTAAACTTAGAGGAGGTAACTAAGAGGAGGCTGCTTTCACGTGGGGGGGGGGGGGGGAGGGGGGGTTTAGTGTTTTTAAGCAAATATTTTCAGTGGCAGCATTGGTACTGTCGAATTCACAAATTATGAATTACTGAAAAGTAGAAAATAAAACAACTAAATAGCGGCGTATGATACGCCGCGGGTCGGCTCGTATTTTTATAAAACAAAAGGGTCATTTGAACCCGTCGCTCTACCCATTTTAACAAGAAATAGATACTTCTTAGACAACTAAATCATAAAAATCACTTTAGATATAATCAAATGTTAAGTCTTCGGGGTCATCCATGAATGACGTCACGATTTTTATGATTTTTTACCTTCTTCCCCCCTCCCCTCCGTCACACGTCGTCACAAAAAGCCAGACCACCCCCCCCCCCCTAAAATAACGTCACACCTCAGCCTACAACTCCCCTTAAAATTGCAGTTGAAATATTTTTTTTTAAACCAGCGATATTTTTCCTAAATTTTGTCTGAACTCTGTCAACACAGAGAGTGTTCTAATCAATTTCTACTTACGATTTATTAAAAGTTTTCTAAAACGCGAAATAAAGGCTAAAATTCGTTTTCTAGCATTGCTTTTTTTATAATGCAAGAGTGTGACGTCACATCCCCCCCCCCCTCATGACACACCGTCACAAAATTAAGGACCCCTACCCCTTAGGAGTGTGACGTCATTTATGGACGACCCCTTCTTTTAAAACATCTGTTAGGCCTTTTTGTGTTTTAAGGGGCCACTACACTGCAAAAACCAAACTAGCACACAGCAGAGATAAGCAAGTAACAATATACTATTATTAATAGTTAGCAACTGTAAATAAAAATTCCACATTATCAGGACCTAATTATGCATGGTTGCCATGGTAACGGCGGCCATCTTGAAAAAAACACCTTTTTTACAAATCTAATGTTTCAATAATGTGAACAAATAATGATGGTTTTATTTCTGTTTATTTAACTAGAACCATTCTAGAGTGTCCAGTAGCAGTTTGTTTTCATTAAAATGTAAAAGAAACATTTTTTTCAATTTTTATATAAAATGTATCATTCAAAACAAGGCATACAAGTTATGAAATTTCTTAAAAATAAAAATGTACACAATGCACATCATTCTCACATGTATAGTTACACCATAAAATGAATAATGAAAAAGTACACCAAGTTTCAGTGGGACGGAGTGGTCTAGTGGTAGAGAGCTGGACTGCTAACCCGTAAGTCTCGAGTTCGAATCCGGGTTCAAGTCAGTAGACCGTCCCTGAGTCCACCCAACTCTGATGGGTACCTAACTCACGTTAGGGAAAGTAAAGGCGGCTGGGCATAGTGCTGACCACACTATCTCTTCATATGCCGAGGTCACAGAAACAAGTGAACTCTACTTCACTTGCCCCATAGACCGTCAGGTTTGAAAGGGAAACTTTTTTTTTACACCAAGTTTCAAGACATTATCTCTGCAAACAACTAAAACATTAGAGTTACAATAAGCAAAAATCTTGAAAAAACAAGTTTTGAGAAAATCAACTTTTAAACATTTAAAGTGCCATAAAAAAAAATCTATCAGCAATATCAGGAAGAAACTTTTAGTATTCAAAGTTCAACATAAGCAGTTGAAAAATAAACCATTGCCAACTATAGTTTGCACATTCTTCTGAAGTTTTACTACTTATAATCTTATAGTGGTTAAGTTTGCACAATTCCGCAGTTTACTTGCACTAAACGTTAAACCTTTCTCATCAACTATTGACATGTGTAGTTGCTATTTTCTTTTTCCCAGACTAACACAAGCTTGATATAGTACATTTTAGCATATTTGAACTATAGTTTAATACAAATTTGACAAATAATGTACTAATAATATTCACATACAACTTTAGCTTATGACGACATTCACAATTCTGCTTGAAGAGGGTGAGCTCAATAACTTGACAACATAAGTTATTTATAGTAGATGGGCACTTTGCTGCTGTATTGCTCTTAAGTTCTAGTACAAACAGCATTTATCTTGCTAATAAAAACATAAGCAGCTTTAGTGTACTTACTTAGTAGTATCGCAGCAAAACTTTGCGCAACAGTATGTAAAATGATGAGAGATTCATTGTTTTTTTTTCAAATCCATTCACTAAGTAAACATCTGAATTTTGAGAAACTAACACCACTGTCTTTATAGATAACATGGCTCTAATATTGACATCATGATGTAGGTGTATCTAAAGTGAGCTTCTTGTAAACCATGAGGTCAAATTTACATTTCATGACATCACATTTCCTTGCGGAAAGCCCAAAGTTTTATCCACAATGCTTGCACAGTCCTAATTGTGGCATATCTTCTGTATATGTAGATGTCAGCAAGCAAATAATGTAAGGGACAGTTATATTTCTTGATTCTTGTTTGCAGTCAAAACTGATTTGGGTTCACACACAACCAGCTTTTTTGGCATTCATTGTAGGAATTGTTGGACTGTAAAATAAAAATAAAAGAACAAATTTTATTCAATTTTAAAAAGTTAATAATATACATAACTAGAATGACTAATATTAGCAGTAACTCATCCTATTGTAACAACCTAATAATGTCATAGTCAACAAAATTGTATTTTGAAAAACTAATCATAATGAATAGTCAATATAGGGCTTATATATTATTATACTGACCATAGATCAAAACACAAGGAATAAATCTAACCATAAATTTAGAAAACTGCTTATACTAAAATTTAACCAATATTTATATTTTAGTCAGTACTCAGCAGATGTTAATTTCTAAATATACAACTACTATCAACTAGAATCTAGATCTAGACTATTCTAGACTAGATCTAGATAATTCTAGATCTAGGTCTACTAGATTCGTGGGTAGTTATGACTGGGTTCTACAGTTTCATTTATTTAAAAATAGTAATTGACAAGCGTGTTTAACATTGGTAAATAGTTAACTAAATTAATTCTTATAAAGGAATTAAGCTGTACTACTAGACAACATATTAGTAGATTTAGAAACTAATGTCAGCGCGTCAGTCAGTGAAGTCAGTGAGATATCGCAGTGTGTGGTGGCATGGCGACTTCACTAGATCTAGAATCTAGATTTAGCGTCTAGTTATTAAAAAAAATTACCTTCAAATTTCTTTCGCTGAACAATGAACTCCTGTCATGGTATCTGTTATTTCGAGCAATAACTGCATTATTTACACGCCATGTTGAAAACAAATGGTTTGTTACTGCAAAAATTGATGTGAAGACAATCACGTAGCCATGTTTGTTTGTTGACAAAAATCCGTCGAACTCGATCACTGCGCATGCGCAGAAAGGTCATTACTAAGGTACGGCTTGAGAATACAAATCGGACCAATGAAATCGCTTGATTTGCGAAATCTTTTATTAAAATATCACATTTGCAAGTAAAATAACTGTATTCGAATGTAGAGTATCGTTTACGGCTCAAACAGACGAAAAAAATGATATATAATATATTATATTTTTCTTTATAGTTGCTTTATAAAAATCAACTCAAAATTTCAGAAATTTGATTAAAAAGTTGATTTTTTAAGCAGAGGGTGGTGTCTTTAAAATTATAATTAAAATAGAAAAATGTATCGTGCAAGTGTACTTGAAACTGTTTTCGATTCTAGGAATATGAAATTTATTAAAACATCAATTTCCTAAAAATATTTTTTTCCAAGTTTAATTAGCATTTTTTACATGTAGAGGCCCCTTAAACCAAAAAAAAAATAGTTGCTTTTATTCTCCAACCGGACTCTAGAGCTAAATACCCGCATTTATGTTCCAAATAGACTTTCGAGCTAAATGTCCGTTTATATACTCCAACTAGGCATTTGAGCTAATCCCCGCATTTATGTTCCGAATAGACTCTTGAGCTAAATACCCGCTTGTATACTCCAACTAGGCTTTTGAGCTAAATGTAGAGCATGTCCCGGAGAACAGAACGGAGTTTTCAGGGGAGGTAATCAACAGGACACGGACCAGACGATATACGTACGAGGACACACACAACTGGCCCAATGATGACTCACAGGATTACGATTTTGACGTGAGTCATCGCTTAATTTTTATCTGTAAGAACTTTGCACTTAGGCCATTTACACTCTTCCATGCTTTCTGTTCTTTGCTATTTTTTTCCATTGCTTCCTAAATCCTTCCCATAATTTTCATGTCTTTCATGATATCTATAGACTATCAGGTTCTTGGGTCTACCGCTTTTTCTTGATCCATGTGGATTCACGATATATCTTGGCTGGTAATGCTTGTTGCCTGTTTCCTCAACGTATGGCTAGTGTTTCTTGCAGACATTTCTCTCCAGGGGGATGTGGCTCTGCTAAACCTTTTTTTTGGGGGGGGGGGGGGAGGGGTCGCGGACACTGGGAAAAGTATATACTCACTATATGAATTATACTTTGTTCGGGGGAGGGGGCGCTACCTCACCCGAAGAGGTGCCTGAAAGAAAATGCGTATGTCCGATTTAATTTTCCTGTTACCTGCCGTGCCTGAAATAGAATAACAATAAGTACGGTAGAAAACTACAGCATAACCTAACAAAATACTGTAAACTAAACAGAATAATATGGTTCTGTACAATGTTAAATAGGCCTAATTATCCCTTTTTTTAAAAACAAGATTCAAACGATCGATCAACATTTCAACAATACAGTGTGGAAATCACATGATGTTGGTTACTCCCTATCTTTACAGAACGCACGCTACCCGGATTCCAAATATTCCTGCCATGCGCAATGCAGCCATTAAATATGTTAAAACGCCAAAATTACCATTATCGAGAAGACATTGTCGTGGTGTCAAAATTAGTGTCTAGATTTCTGCAAATACAGAGTTATGGACCAGAGGCGTAGCGACCCTTCACGGTGCCAGGGGACAAACTTTCGATTTGCACCCCCCCCCCCCTCAGACTTCCGATTTGCAACCCCCCTTAAACTTTCGATTTGCACCCCCATTCAAACTTTCAATGTGTTTTTCCAACCCATTTTGGCGCCCCCTAATGTCGTCGCCCGGAGTCATATGTCCTGTCCCCCCGCTACGCCTCTGTTATTGACACAAAGAACACAACTGAACTCGTCTTTTCCTCCATAGGAAAACGGGGAAACAAAGGAGGTGCCTTTCTGGGTCAAGGTCTCGGACAACTGGCAAGTGGTGGGCTTCAGGATGATCTTCCTGCTCAGTGCCGTCTCCATCCTGCTCATGATCTGCTGCTGCTGCTGTAAGATCTGCTGCCGGATGTGCTGCCAGTCCATCAAAGACAGCATCTTACCGTGTAGGGCCTTTTTGGACCTGCTTACTTCCTGTTACGAGGATCCAAGTAAGATGGCCGACTGCTGTCAGTTGTTTTTTGTTAGGAGAAGAAAAGGGGGGGGGGGGGGGGTAACCAGAAAGAAGCACAACGGGGAAAAACGCACACAAAAAAGGAAGCATTGGGGATTTTTTTTTTTTTATATTAAAGCAATAACTCATGGTCGTTAGCAAAAAATGACCCTATGTCATTTGAAATGCTACATAATAATTAAAAAAAAACTTTCTACGAAATTCGACCAAATGAAACTATTTTCGTATATTATTGAGTTTGTATTTGGACTTTTTTTCTAGTTTCGCATTTTTTTGTATCGTTTTCTTCTGAGAACGTGTGAGGGGAGTGGTCTATTTTTTTTTCAAAAGAAAAAAAAAAACTTACAAAGGATGGTAACAGCTACTGCTGTTTGTAGCAATCATTCACAACTCTAAGGCTGTACCTCAGAGTCGAACTGATGAGGTAGAGTTTAGCGAGGGATAGTGTCTCCTGCTGAATACCTTCGCTGAGTGCACCACTTGACCGATGCTGAAAACACCATCATCGACAGCCTACAGTTAGACTAGTTTAACAATAGTAACTGAATGTGACTGTAGTCAATGCTGCAATCTTTGGTCTGGCCGACACGGCCCCTAATCTATGCAGGTAGATTTTGTGTCACCTTCAACTGATATTGCTTACAAAATGTATTCATTATAAAACAACTGCATCCAAAGTTGTATATTTTTCTATTGCAGTGTTTAACAGTTTAGTTTATCTTGCTTAAATCTTTTATTTCCTCTTCCAGCCAATCAGGAACATTTCAGTAAACTAAAATGCTGTTAATATATTTCTTGATCCTTTTTCCTTTAGTGTACAAGAGGGCGAAAAATCTGGCCGAACTGATGGGACTAAAATTAGACTACGCCACTTATTTAAAGATCAAGGCGAACCATGATGTGGGTGGGACTGGTACCTTTAACCCCCTGGGGCTGCCGTACATGGCATAGCCAGCAGTATAAAAACTGTGGATGGCTGGAGTTTTCAGTTACAAATAAAGTTGTTTGCCTGACTTTGGCTTTTTTTATAACAGAAAGAATGGAACAACAGGATGAATGAAATGACGTTCAATACAACTCGACATAGAAATAAACATTTTATTGGTTTGTTAAAAAAAAATTGATGAAGGGATAACAATTTAATTATGTACAAATTAGAAAATGCACTGGGTCCATTAAAAAATTGTGATACATAAACATTAAAACAACTACTGCTATTGCATTAGCAGTAAAGGTATGAAAATATATTCACCTTATCCCTGACTTAATAATCTATTAATTTCAACGTTCCACTTAACATCCAGTATTGGCAACCACCCACTGATCACACAACAATCAAATCTATACATCACAATTGTACACGGGGACTCCAACTAAAATATGGCATCAACTAAGGTGCCTTCATGCCTATAGATACAGATGGTGTTTAATGCACTTCATACAATGTTAAATACAAAATTTGAAGCAGCTATGGAAGAGCTAAAATTATGTTTATACCCACTAACTATGTAGTAGTCACTAGAATAAATAGAAGACCAGTCATAGAAAGATCAGTCAAACACATTCTTTCACCAACAGCAAACATTCAACAAGTTCATTACAATGACACTAGTAGCTACATCAGTCAATTCATAACCGCTCACTTACTTGACCAATCTCTTGAAATATTTCCTTGTTTACCAAGTACTAGTATTTGGTTTTATAAATACTAAAGAACACATCATGCCCATCATGAATGAATGTTTCAATAAACAACACCCCAACAAGTCAATACCCCTGGTCTAATATCTGCTATCACACCTCAAACTAAACACACAGGTATCATTAGTGACATGGGATGGTGACACTCTCTGTTTTGTCTGTCGTCACCTCATGACATGATATATGAAGATCTCCTTCTCTGGAAAAAACATTTGACACAGGGAGTTAACCTTAAGGAACAATTAGGTCTTTTTCACACAATTTATTTAAAGTAAAAATAAGTTAATGAAAGTGAGTTTAAGATATAGACATGAACAAGATCACAAGAATAACATCAAGATTTTACAGCAGCAAGTAAAGAAAAGGATTAAAAACCCTTAGACTATTTCCTAGGGACTACCAATGTAAGAAGAACTTTTTTTAGATTATACAGAGAGGATATCTAATCCAAACCAACGAATACACAACTATCAAAATAAGTAAATAAACATTTCTAACCTCTTTAAGTGGAAGTTGGATTTGATTGTAGATCCAGGTGGCAAGTCACGCATGACCAACTGTTAATGATAAACACATTTAGAAATTTTATTGAAGTATGTTTTTATTATAATAAATAAAATTATAATACAAATTATAAAATTGATACAACATATTGGAGAATAAATACATGGAACAATAGAAATGACAAGAAGATAATAAAAACTCTGGCCTAAACCTAGTATTAACAACTACCAAGTACCTTGGCCTAAACCTAGTATTAATAATGGCTAAGAACCTTGGCCTAAACCTAGTATTAACAATGGCTAAGTACCTTGGCAAGTAGTTTGGCTGTCTCTAAAGTGGCTGGCTCATCAGCTTCAAATATCTCTAAAGCAACAGCAGTCTGTTGTGGGTCAAGTGTGAGGGTGTGTTGTCTTCTAGTGGGGGCCAAACTGTGCTGGGGGACCACAACCTCCAACTCATCTTTGCTGACCTAATGACAAAGTCAAGGGCTAAATGTAAGAATTTTAATGGACCAATGGAAGAGGAGAAGGAGGATAAGGAAATGAGTGGCAAACTGTCTTGGGTTATTACATTTGTTACATAAAACATGAATAGGAAAATTCTTCCATTAGATACATTTTTAGTCCCAATCTGTAGTTAACAATTTTAGTGCCAATCTGTAGTTAACAATTTTAGTGCCAATCTGTAGCTAACAATTTTAGTGCCAATCTGTAGTTAACAATTTTAGTGCCAATCTGTAGCTAACAATTTTAGTGCCAATCTGTAGTTAACAATTTTAGTGCCAATCTGTAGTTAACAAAATGGCTCTGACTAAGCTCCTCACTAGCCTGGTCATTCTGGCTGAACAAGAGATTGGCTGTGTTTTTTTTTGTTAGTCAAATTTTAGTTACATAAGAGCCCGTTTAACCTTCTAATAAGTTAGAAATTGATTAACTGCATAGGTGTACATCAAATCTAGGTGAAAATATTTAAAATATGATTCAGAGAGGTGACACAGCTGATGCTGTTTGATTGACATTTTGTTGGGAACTCTTGGGCACACTGAAAATAATGACGCACACTAAGGGAATAGGGTGCACAATGCAAGTTGGGATCACATCTATCAAACTATTCTTTAACTTACTCGTATACAAAGAGATTTAGGGAAAATCTTGAAGTTTACTGTGGAAGCCTCGTTATCAATACTGATGTTTCCTGTGTCATTCCCTACCAATAGGGCTGCCTGAAATAAACATTGACAGGGGTTTAGTATTTAAGTCATGTTCAACAATTGTACTCATAAACAATTCAAACTGTAACTCACTTCTTTAGCAGCACCTAAGGCTATAATTTCATCCTCTGGTATGGAGTTGAGTAGCGTTGAAGACGACAGAAAATCTCCTATAACCTTCTTTAAGAGAGGAGGTTTGGCACCACCCCCACAGATTATCACCTGTAAACAGACATCAACATAAAACATTCTAGGATGGAGGAGAGGGCAAGGGAATAAAAACATCACACCTTACATGGTAGACAATGTTACAAGTTTGTGTAGTTAACACTGACAGATTTATAGCTTGCAAATAGATGAGAAACTTGGAATCAACATACATGTAAAAAGTACATACACAATAACAAATGTAATTAAAAATTCGCAAAAAAAAAAAACCACACTTCATTACCTTGGAGATATCTTCTTTGTTGCAGCCAGCACTTTTTAAAACTTCCTCTATTAGACCTGTACATTTGGACAGCAGTGGCATACACAAGCTATCAAACCTGGCCCTGCAGATGTCAAACCAAATGAGCAATGAGTTATTGCAGCAGTCCTCAACACTTATCACATAGTAAAAGGCATTGTTTTCTATTCAGTTAGTGAGTTATTCAGGGTTCGTACTGCTTTTTGAAAATGAAATTCCAGACTTTTTCCAGACATTTTCCAGACTTTTTGGAAAAATTCCAGACTTTAGACAGATAATTGTGTTAGCGAATAATTTTTTAAAATGATGCACTATTTGTACTGTCATTATAATTACTTATACTAAATTGACATTTATTTTAGGCTATATTCACAGTGAACTTTCTCTAGCCAAATTGACAAAAAAACATTTTTTCTAAGTTTGCCTACTCCACCCTACCTAAAATTTTAACAATTAAAATAATTGATTAAAATGATGCAACTATTTTGTTTCCAACATTAGACTTATGTAATCTGTTCCTGATCTAATTGCTTATGTTTTCAATTAAACTATCATTAAAATGGTATTGCATAATAGTGAGAGTTAATTACTATAAAGAGTAATAATGTAATGTATTAATGTAGGTCTGCTCTTGTTAAGTAGCCTAAATAAATATAGGTTACTTGTACAAAAAAAAATGTAGAGCAAAAAAAAAAAAAAAAATCATTCACTGTTTGTGCTTATAGTAATAGCTGAGAAACGGGTCTGCAATTTAAAAAAAAAAAAGTTGCCGGTATCCTTCTTCCCCCCCCCCCCCCACATACACGACACGGTGATGGGGTCACTGTGAGGTCATAGTAGTCTAGACTTCAGTATGCCTGTTTAATACGTCATAACAGGAACTGTGCTGTGACTTATACCCCCTCCCCCACCTTACTTACCAAGCGGTACCAACTACGCACTTGGGGTCACGGTGAGTTCACACAAAGGACCGATGTTACAAGGAGGGGCGGGGTAGTCTAACTTTAATCGTCAGCATTTGCAAAGATTTCAAAAAACAGTTTAATGGAAGGTGAATTAAAATTAAAGGGGACATCCATTTATGACGTACACATGGAGGGGGGAAGGGGTCAGAAGATTTTGTGATTACATTCTAAAACAAACATAAAACTTGTATCTTGTGAGTAGAAAGTAAAATTAAGACGACTGTGTTAGTGTTTTAAAAACCATCACAGCGTGTAAACAAAACACGGTATTTATATCTGCCCTAACATTATTATAAAACCCTCCTCCCGACTTTCCGGAGTGTGACGTCATTTATGGTCGACTCCTTAATAAAAATAGTACCTCTTGGTTAAGCTGAAGCAAACAGAATTACAGGTATGAACCCAAGGAGGCCTTGCGACTTATTAATCTTATAAATGCTAATATTAATCCAAAGTAAGTGAACGCGTGTGGACAGAGGGCGGGGAGGGGGGGGGGGAGTGGGGAAAGGGGGGGGGGGGTCTAAAATCCGAAAAATTGTTGTAATTCATAAATGGATGACGCCTTACAGACTGATACATTATATCTAAACTACCACTCACACATCTCTCCCATAACTTTTGTTATGACTGCCTGCATGCAAACTCAAACGATGAAAAAATAGCGGGTAAAATCGAGAGCCTAACAATTCTGACGGCGATCATTCTTTCAATAAATGACAATTGTAAGTACTTGTAACAAATTCACACGGTCAGTCGTGCCACAAAATATCTCTTCCCTCCCTTCCCCTCTTCTCCCAATGACGTAGTAACTGAGCATTTTTTCTGCGAACCAGCGAAAAAACGTGACAACACAGTGTAAACCCGCGCGATAACGCGGGAAAAAAATTGGAGTTAATTCACTTAAAAAAAATTCATAAAAAACGTTTTAATAACAAGCTTTTATGTAATGATGCACTAAAAAGTAGAAAATAAATTATAGACTACTATTTAAATAACTATAAAGAAAAGCGTGGGTCACTTTAGTATCTATTGGATACCTTTACTAATGTTAAGGAAGACACCCACGCTTTTCTTTATAGTTATTTAAATAGTAGTCTATAATTTATTTTCTACTTTTTAGTGCATCATTACATAAAAGCTTGTTATTAAAACGTTTTTTATGAATTTTTTTTCAGTACTTTACATGTTTTATCTACAATAGAGTTACATGACTAAAAACCATTGCGCGCCTACTGAATATCACGTTCAGTAGGCGCGCAATGGTTTTTGAACGCAGCCATTACGTGGTCGTGATGGCGCAGCTATTGATGACGCGTGTGGTGTGGTTGGCTAGACATGCCTACTAATTCGGTCCAAATTTTAATTAATTCATAAAAAATCAATTAGGCATCCAATTAAGTCAAATTTAGTTTCAGATTGCATTGTCTTCATGTCTTGACCCACGTGCCAACTGTGAATCGTGTCGGTCAAGTAGAACTGTCCGAATTTTCACTCCTGCGTTTCCGTCAAGACAGACTTACGACAGACAGAGGAAGTGAGTTAAATAAAAGCTTGTAAAAATAGCAATTTTTTAAGTTGGAAAATATGGACTACGAAGTTTTGTTTCTAAAACTAGATTCCAGACTTTTTCCAGACTTTTAAAAAATCCTGCCCAAAAACTAGCGATTTTCCAGACTTTTTTAAGTCTTAAATTCACTTTTCGAAATTCAAGACTTTTTCCAGACTTTCCAGACTGCGTACGAACCCTGGTTATTGCAGCAATCTCCAAAACTTATCAGATAGTAAAAGGCATTGTTTTCAATTCAGCTTGGAACTTAATGTCAGTTATGCTTAAAATTACAAAAAATAGAATTAAAGAAAAGCAGTTGACCTGGACATGTTGTAATGAAAGTCACAGCCTTCAAACAGAGAGTCCACAGCACACTGGGCAGTGATCATAGTGGTGAGGGCGTGTTTACAGCGCTCAGCTGCCAGTCCAAGCTTACTCACTGACCTCTTGTTGGTACTCATGTTCAGACGGAACTGTCTGTTCAAACAAATATTTTGGTTAGTTCAAAATTTAAGTTACGTTATTCTGTATTTACATCTATCATAAAAATTTATATTTAAATATTTTAGTTCACCATTTCAATTTTGTATTTATATCCATTATTTGAGTCTAAACAAATATTTGGTTAGTTTAATTAACATCCAAAGTAAGTTATACTGTTTATTTATTATATACTAATACAAAAAGCACCAAGTTAACTTGAATTATAGTAGTATAAATAGATTCAATACAATCAAGCAAACCTGTTGAACTCTGAAGTAAGAAATGCCTGAAGGACTTCTGTGAACTTGTCCCCACCAAACTGTGTGTCTGCAGCCTTGGCTATAATTCTATACATGCCTTGCTCAATATCTACAATAACAGCCTCATGAGACGTCCCACCCAAACGATAAACAAGTGTCTTGCTGGCAAAATGAAGACATGTATAATTAATACCCTCACTTGAGGCAAGAAATGTTAGTAAATAATGGCTCAGTAACATATTTTTTTAGATTAAATTATGAAAGATTTTAAACTAAAACAACATTGACAACAAGATATTTTCAATTACTTCAATTAAATTACAAAATGAAAATAGCCGTTCTTAATATAAAAAGCATTACAAAAGAGACGTACAAGTGTTCTGTTTGGTCCAACTGACCAACATCAAAAGCCAGCAATGCAGCAGACGTTTCATTGATGACTCGCAGAATGTTAAATCCTGCCTTGGTTGCTGCCTCACTGCAACAGGACAACAACATCAGTTTAAAATGGTTGATGCTTATCACAGACCACGGCATAAGACATCCATTAAGTTTGATAACTAGGGCTACAATAGTTTCTTACCTAACAATGGTCCTTTGTTTGACATCAAAATCTGGTGGGACAGCTAAAACTGCATCTTTTATCCCACTACCTCCATGACTTTGTGCTGTTTCTATTCAACAACAGGGAAGAAAATAAATCTACATGATACAACAATTTATTTTCAGGAAATTACTATCTATATTTTAAAATAATGAGCTGAATTTTTGTGTTAAACTTAAGTAAAGAAATAACCCTAACATGAGTAACTATTATTAATCTGAGATACATGATAAAGGGCACAGAAAGTAAAGGTGCGTTGTTCCCCTCCAAGTTTTAAGTCTTTCAGTAACCTACAAAGACATCTACAAAACAAAGAAATTCTGTAGTTATATTGTTGTATATTGTTGTATTCAACAATAATCAATAAATCCACTTACCTAGCAATTTTTTATAAATTAACTCCATGATTTGGCTGGGGGTATATCTCAGTGTCTTTCCTTTCTGTTCAACTTCAAACAAAGGCAGCCCATTATCCTTGACAATCTGTTGCAAAATAAATAGTCAAAATGACACATTTTTTAAAGTAAATCACTGCCAATATTTTTTTTATAGTAACTTCAACATAAATGGTCAATCAACTAAATCATTTTACAAATTTTGTACATTTTACAAATTTTGTACATTTTACAAATTTTTAAGTGAATAACAATGAAATAATTTTAAAAAATATTTTGATAAATATATTTTTAAGGAAATTGAAACAAACAAACTTGCCCAATGCACAAGCAACAAATAAGACTTACACGGACGCTGGTAGATTCTATGTACTCCTTGACCAGTGGGTCATCAAACTGACAGCCCACCAATCGTTTGACATGAGAGACTGTGTTTGAGGCATTGCGGATTATCTCCTGCTTGGCTGCAGCACCGACAGACTAGAGTGTTACAAAGGACATGCAGATACAATTATAAAATACTGATCAAATACTTGAGGGGAAATAAATCTGATAAGAACAAAATAAAATAATTTAAAATAACATACATTTGATACATCCAGCTCTGGTTATTATGATCGTTTAAAAGAAATAATATCTTTGCTCTAACACAATTTATATCAAATCCAATTTTACAAATTATACACTTCAATTTCAAATTTTTCAATTCTGTAGCATACCAGAATTTTCATTCACTGAATCCAAAGAACAGTGCATACTGTATACACCAACTTACAATTTCATGGTCTGTAAAAGCCACAACAGCAGGTGTTACTCTGTCTCCAAGATCATTTGCAATGACATTAGTTTTACCATCCTACAAACATAACAAAAAAACATAAGCTATAGTCATAGTGATCCATTAAAAGATTTTAGGTCATATAATTTCACAGCCTTGGTTTTTATTTAATTCTGGCATTCAAAGTTTAAGCTATTAGCTAATAAGCTCACTAGTTGTAACTAAGTTTGAACAAAAGAAGGATTTGTTCAGTATTTTATATGAAATGTTAAGACTTTTAAAATGTACTGAGCTGAAATACTTTTATTGTGACTAATAAGTAATTTTAAAAGGAGGAGCCTTGGTGAAATGCAAGATGGCTTAGCTGTCTGTCTTTGTTACAAAGAATACATTTAAAATCTGGTAATCTGTATTCTATTATTTTAACCTGCACCTAGCTTTGGTGCTGAAATAACACTTTATGTAAAGATTGAATTGCTAATAGGCTAAGAGAAAAAAATCAGGCAGTACTGACATCTATTCTTAAAATGCATTTCACTCAGTGAACAGATTTAGAAATTAGAGAATCATTGTGTTCCGCAAAATGCTGCCGCAGTGTATTTAGATCCAAGTCACATGTTTTATCAATTTAATGTCAAGCCACCTACATTTTTAATCTACTGAAAATTAAAAGGCCGATGCTAGCCGGAAAAAGATACACATGCGCAATGGATAGAAACTACGACTTTCCATCGCAGCGATGTTTTCTGTGGTACTGCGCATGCGTGTGTTTACAACCGCTGAACCCTAACACCAACCCTACTTCTAGCCCTAACCCTAGGTCACTGCGCATGCGCAGCTATCTTATGCCGACTAAGTGGAGACAAATCTTCCGAGTAGTCACTTCGAAATTAAAATTTTATTCTCATATTTCTGGTTCCTAGAATGAGATTCTGCCATAGAAGAACTAGTTTTACTAGACAATAGACATCTAGATCTAGCTACAAATAATTTTATGAACAAATGACAAATAGGCCTAGATCTAGTGAAAAAAAATGTGTCCATAACAATAAAACAAAAATTGACAATAGTCACGATTGAAACTTTGATAGTGATACTGTTACTAGATCTAGAGATACTATGATACAAACACTATGAAAGTCCAGTCATTGTCCTCTACTCCTTGATCTAGTCTCTGGAAACTGGAAGCCAAGTGGGCCCTTTTAATCTATTTTAACACGTTTTTCTTAACTCAGCTTCGCGTTTATTTGTTTGTTTGTTTGGATGTTTGTTGTTAAAATTGACATCGAAAATTAGCCCACTTCTGATTGCTCTAGAGATCTGAAATTTGGAATGCAGGCTATTTTCGCCTAACAATTTCAGATGCAATCATAAAAACTAGCAATTAGAGACCTAAATTAGCTTAATTAAATTACGCCCCAAGGACCATAAAATCGAGGACATGATTTCTAAACATACCGACAAGACTGGAGGCCTATTGACACAGTTACTTCGGCCCCAATCGATGTGAGCGCGCTGGCCGTGATCGTATAGTGGTTAGTACTTCGCGTTGTGGCCGCGACAACCCAGGTTCGAATCCTGGTCACGGCATGTAGGCTTAATTAAATTACGCCCTTTCTCTGTTTAAAGCGTATCGGTCGCTCAAGATTTTTAGTCCGCGTATTTATAAACACTTAGTCAAGTCATACTTAATCAAGTCATTAGATAAAGTAGAAAATAAACTATATAAAAAACTTTTTAAAAAACACGTTTTTCATGTGTAGCAGCGGACTAAAAAGGAGAAAATAAAATAACTAAAAAATTTAAAAAAAAAAAAAACACGTTTTTCTTGTGGACTAAAAAGTAGAAAATAAATTTTTCTTTTGTGCTTCCTCGAGCTGTGCAGGTTCTTGTGATGACTGACAAAAAAACGTGGGTCGGGCAGATGGGTCGGGAAATTTGATGGAGAACGTACCCACGTTTTTTGTCAGTCATCACAAGAACCTGCACAGCTCGAGGAAGCACAAAAGAAAAATTTATTTTCTACTTTTTAGTCAACAAGAAAAACGTGTTTTTTTTAAAAGTATTTTATCTAATCTAGATATACTAATATTAGTATTTCTCTCTAACTTGGAGGCGTGGTCCGTTGCTAACAACAATATGGCGTCCGGACTGGACGCTTGACTTCAGACGATTTTTCGGCCAAATTCCAGAGACCTTCTACTAATTAGTTTTTAAAATGTTTACCACGCACAAAATGGCGGGACTTTCACGTTATAACAACAAGCTATAGGTGGCAGGGCTATATATGCCAGAAAAGCATTTTAAAATTTGCGTTGGAGAATGAAGGCTAAATTTAAAAGTTGGTTTCATCAAAAATACTAGAACTTTTTAAATATCGATTTCCATATTACAAAATTGATTTCCATAGTAAAGCATTATTAGTTTTATCAGTCTATGAAAAAATAAATCAAATATCGTCAACCGTTTTTTTATAAGACCAGCCGCAAAAATGACAACCAAATTTTTTTTGAAAAAAAAACCACGTGACCACTATTTGGAGATCACTAGTGAGGAACTCTTGTGCATGGCCACTTAAAAAGTCTAACCTGATTTGTGGTTTTCTTTACCTTCAAGGGTTAGAAGAGTTGTCATGGAGAGATGTGTTGGACATGGCAGTGATTGACAATAAATATTAAATTAAGTAATTTAGTTTAAAAAGAACTAAAAACTCCAAAGTTAGTGCCTAATGGATTAAATATGGATGTCTATTATTAGGGTTGTCGGTATCTGCCGAGATCGCTGTAAAAACATGACCCGAAATCGCCCATTACTTTCTGATACCGGGGGCACGAGATTTGGTTTTGCATACTAATAATTTTTTAATTTATGGTAATTAATTAAGTTTAAAAGGTCATTTCCTAATTTTAATTTAAAAGTAGAATGGTTTTCCCATTGTTTTGATGGCTTAGCGATCTGATTGCACGCTGTCTCTGCTTTGGTCTTCCCCCTGTATGAAGGCTAGTTTCAAATACGTTGGAATCACGATTTTTTAAAAGGTTATTCTAGATGAGTGAAGATTACTGAGCAGACATATCTTATATATGTGGAAATGATATTTGTTTTTGGATATTTTGACTCTGACATTAGATATACTCGTTTAGAGGTGGTCACTGTATGTAGGTCGCGTTGCCACCATTGTTATATTTTTTCATCCCGATCTCCGGCCTTAAGTTTGATCAACTAACAACAGCATTCTTATGGAATGTGCAGTGCAAACAAATCTCCAAATTTTTTATTTCAAAATATATTTACATACCCATCTTTAATTTTTTCAGCTCTAGTTCTACAGAATATGTTTTTCCTAAAATCCAATTTTGTCAGACTAGACTGACAAGAGTCAGACCTAGATCTAGGTTACCTGTCTGTTGCTATACACTAGCATTGTGCTAACTGTAATTTTAAGTATTCAAGTTCTACTTACCCTTAGATATAGTTATATGCTGAAAATAAGAATCCATACACAATTCACACATAAAAACATTGATCTGATAACTTCATTTCACTTATTACAAAATGGCTTTTATATGGACTCTACTTCACCTTCCCAAAATAACAAGGCAGTTATAGACATATTACAGTGTTCAAGTCATTTACTTTAGATTTCTGACTATGGAGTTCTTTCATTCACTGTATTTATATAAAATATTGCTTTAGAAACATTTTCATATTGCGCAGCAGTTTTATAACAAAATGGCTTAAAGATGGACTCTACTTCACCTGCCCAAAATAATGAGGCAATTATATGCACATAACAGTGTTCAAGTCATTTACTTTAGATTTCTAACTTTGTAGTTCTTTCATTTGCTGTATTTATATAAAATATGGCTTAAGAAACATTTTCATATTTGCGCAGCACACAGTTTTTTGGGGTTATGGGAGGAAGCCAACACAAAAATATAAGTTCTGTATTATTTTTATTCATTTCAACAGCATTTACAAGTTCTATATATCATTCTAGTTAAACTCTGCAAATATGAACAAAATACAACTGCAAGTAAAATAACTATGCTCAATTTATTCAGGTATACCATGACTTGTCACAATTGGCCAATGCAAAAGCAAGGGGATTCCACCCCTCACAAAAAAATTCGCTAAAAAAAAAATATTTGAGCTAGACAGAAAATTTTTTTTTGTTTTGTTTTCATTTTGTTGAGCTCTACAAGAATATGTAATTTTTATTTTTATATGATGATTAGTGCTTTTTTACCAAAATCCCTACTATTATTCAGTGGTCATGTTTAAATTGATAATTGCGTAAATTCTAGATTTAGTGAGAAAAACTAACTAATATAGATCAGCTAATTAAAACTTGGATAATGTGTTCATATTACAGATCAATAAGTTATATTAATCGGCCTACAATATTGGCCAATACTATTTCTAAATCTGAGTAGTTTCTCTAGCTCTAGTGACTAGATCTAGAGTGTCTCATTCATTGTTGTTATTTCTCCCTCCTCCCCTTCCCCACTTTGCTGTCGAGTGTCGTCAGTTTCCAACCACCATTAGCGATAAATTAGGGAAAAAGTGGCAAGAATCAATATTTAATCTAGAAAATATTCAACAACTATAACAGTTGTTCAAAATGTGTAACTTTAAATTGATTAACACTTGCCCTGTAAACTGCTAAACAAGCAGAACACGTGCCGAGATGTAAACCGAAGGCTGCCATTTTGACGCTTTTTCATAACTACATGTTCCAGGTTTTTTAACTGAAAGATGTTAAATGAAATGGAGGCTCTAAACAAAAAACTAAAATGTCGGAATTGATGAACATTTTAAAATTAATAATTTATTCTAAATTCAAAATATTAGCTATGATCGTTATAGTTTTGAGAAAGTAATTTTAAAATTATAACTATGCTATTGCTAAAGTTATTATGTTTTAAAAAGTTGCTTAGGGCCTAAGGAAATCAGAATATTTTCGAAGGCTACTTCCGGATATTTAGCTACCCTGGCAATCACTCAAGTGGAAGCCTAAAACAATATTTACAACAACACAGACAAGCGAAAATGTACAACAAAATCGTTCTGTCTTTATCAATAATCATGTGCATTGTTGCATATTATTTCAGCCCCAAATTTGCAACAGTGCTGTTAAATAAAATATCCGGCTCATTATTAGGCCAAAGCGCTCCAGAAGAAAAGGTTAGGATTTTTAGTAAAGAAGAACTAGCCACTTTCAAAGGAGAGAATAGCAATGAAGTTTACCTAGCGCTTGTTGGTCATGTTTTTGATGTTTCAAAAGGAAAAAAACATTATGGACCTGGAGGTGGTTATTCTTTTTTTGCTGGTGTGGATGGATCAAAAGCTTTTGTTACTGGAAAATTTGTTGAAGAGGATTTAACTGATGATATATCAGAGTTAACAACATCAGAAATTCTGTCTTTGGAAAATTGGAAAGCTTTTTATGAAAAAGATTACAAATGCATTGGTAAAGTAGAAGGAGCTTTCTTTGACAAAAATGGCCAAGAGCTCCCAATGATGGAATTGTATCGTAAAAAGCTTCGAACAGCACTGCTAGAAAAAGATGTTATTGAAAATGACAAAAAGCTGTTTCCACCATGCAATTCAGAATGGAGTCAAAGGAATGGTGGTAGAGTTTGGTGTTCAACAAGAAGTGGTGGAGTGGCCAGAGACTGGTCAGGTGTGCCCAGGTTGTACTACTCAGCTGGAAGTACTCAGCCTAGATGCGCTTGTGTCCGCACGACTGGGCCACCTTCCCATGATCTGCAAAGCGAAACACACAAGGGTCGAGGAGATCTTGACAACCCAAATTTGAATGTGTATCCAAACTGCGATGCTATGTCTGAATCATGTCCATTACCAGAAACAGCATAAATCATTCTTAGCTTTTAAAATGTTTTTGATAAGTTTTACTATTTTCATTTTTTTTTACTTCTGAATCATAGTGGTTTAGGCTAGTTATTATTTATATAAATAGTTTTTAATATCACTGTATCATACACATCTTTAATGGCCTTGATTAATTGAATAATGCCATCCACGTAAAACATATATGGGATGTCTGAATGAACTTCCAAAATAGGCCAGTTAATTGTCAACTAGACCTACTTAAATGTGATTAATAAAATGTGCCAGTATCTATGCACGGCTCACATAAATTTAATAAACTGCCAAGCTCACTCTGTATTAGTTTTTTATAGTTTGATTGTATACTTTTTTACATTGACATTTTTATTTTAAAGTATTGTTAAGTGATAAAAGTATGTTTAAGTGATTGTATCACTATACATTTTGAACTAATGTCTGTCAGCAATGCCTATTTCATTGTTATTTTTGTGAAAATACATGTGTTCTTATTATTGCAATTTGCAATAACTTCGATAAAACAAATTGTTACATTTAAAATTTACAAAAAGGCCTAATTGTCACAGAATTTTAATTTGCGTAATAATAAACAAAAACATTTTTAAAAAATAAGGCACCACTTAAAGTTAATATCATTCTATTGGATCATATTGGGCTTTTTAATGTCCTAATTAAGGCAAGCATACTGTATGTAATTGGCAAATGATTAAATCTTAACCACATATTGGTAAAGTCTAATCAATCCTTCCTTAATGTGTCCTTTTGAAAGTCAGCATTTATTATACATTCTGTTAATAAACAGCAGACTTATGATTTAAAAACCTATCAATAAATTTATTTGTATTAAGTTTTAAACATCCCATGTCAATACTACTGTAAAGTAGAGCTGCATGTTTAATATAAGATGCTCAATACACATTTTTTAACTCCATTAACTGTATTAGTATAGAAACACATTTCACTTTTTTTTTTTTTTTAAATCAAATGGTTATAGGGTATATGTTTTTAAATTTTATTTGTAATGCCAATAATTTATGGACTTGTTTTTACATTATATATATAGTGTGTTCAATCTAGTTCAGTTGAGAATTGAATGTTAATATTTAAATATGCTGCTGGTCTATGTTTAATAAAAAAAAATAATTGTTGATTTATATTTGTATACATAATTATACCCTCCAGTTTTAAACTTAGCATAACTTAGTGATTACATTTGAAAATTCACGTCTGTGTGTTCATATGAAATTTGTATCACTTGCATACAAATTAGCCCTATTTTTGTGCAGTATAAATATCTTTACACTAGGCGTATAATTGTTTTTTATGTGCAGAAAGAAGATACCCATTTTGGTATCATTAAAATTTGTGCCTGTCAGTGGAAAACTGTTGAACAAAAAAAGATATGAATGAACGTGCCTAGCCATGATTTCATGCTGATGCTTAGACTTAGACCCTGTCTATAAAATGTATTATATACACATTATTGTAGCTAGTGTTATACAAAAAAACCTCAGAGGCACATCTATTTGTAATTAATAAAAATAATTAAGTGAATAACTTCAATAAGAATGAGATTTTTATTTTATAAATAATGTTTAGGGGTTTTGATTTCCTTGCCTACTTTTCAAAATAGTTCGCTGAATGAATCCTTCTTCGGAAGTGTTATGGTTATGGGTTATAGGTATACTATTTTTTAGAAAAATTTGGATACAAATATATACATTATAATATAGTAATATGGGATGTGTTCGTTGGAAAAGAAACAGATTGTTTTTTGAATGAGGTAAAGTTAGAAAAGTTTAGAAGTAGCTGTTGTAGACATAACAGAGTGGGACCTGTTTAAGTAAAGGACTGACATATTTTAATAGAAACTGCCTAAGTAATGGTACTAAATAACTGAATTTGCTTCCTAAGAAAATTTATAGAATGCTTGGGTAGATCTTGTCATTGATGTATATTTTATGTTTTTTTTTACTTCCATTTATCATAATTCTGATTTCAGGTTTTATTTAATTTATGTGTACTAAATATACTGAAACATATTTGATACATGTGATTTAATTTATAAATGGTTGGCAATAATATGTGATTCACATGCATTTAATTTAAAAATCAAATTTTATTTTGCTTTCACCATAACAGTATGATCAAATACATGTTTTCACTAATAATTCTTGGCTTCATGGTTTCTTTTTATGTTGCTATTTGTGTTGTGTAAGCCTGTTTATTGTACCAGGATTGTAAAATATTTACTCAAAAATTGCTTGCTTTTCTGCAGTCTGGAAAGTTATGGCAATTTAAAACTTTAAAAAATTAGGTAGGGAAAAAATTATCACAATTTTGCTCATTGGATGTTTAATTTAATTTTAAATCTGTCTCAGTGTAGAAAAATTTTAACTACCCTTGCAGACCTGATAGTTCATGGGCCAGATGAAGTAGAGTTCACCAGTTTTTAACCTTGGAATATAAAGGGATTGTATGGTCAGCACCGTATTTTTCCAGACTTGAGTCAGGTAGCATACAGGAAGGTTGGATTCATTGGTATCTTGTGGAGAATGGAACTTAAGACTTTTAAATCAACATTCATATGATCTGCTACTTAGCCAGATCTTTGATCTCTTTACAGTAACTATAAACTTGAGCAAAGGAATGAATAACATTTTAAACAAATAGAGTAAAGTACAATATTTTTTATTTAACTAATAACTAAACCTCACACTTTTGTAAATCTTAATATCAGTAAACAAAAATACAGATCAGTATAGCATCTTTGACAATATCAGTGATGTATTTTTAATTTGGACAGAGTCAGTGTTGCGACAAAGACAACAACACTGTACAGATAGGAGATAGCACCGCATCTACTGTTTGCTTCTGTCATACACTACTTCTCCATGCCAGATGACAGATGAAATGACATTTCTGCTGTTGCCCATTTGGTAGATTAAATGCTCCCAACTGGAAAGTAAGAAAATCATTATTTTAGGCCTACATGCATTGTGACAATAACAAAACAAAGGCACATTAGAAAGTCATTTGAAAGTTATATTAAGTAGGAATTTAGGTTCGTCCGGATTTGCTGACATTTATAAAAAATTTCAGAATTCAGTCACTATAAATTTCCATACAAAGGGAAACTACTCAATTAATATTTAAAACAAAGTCACCATAACATGGTTATATCCCTTTATGAAAAAAAAAAAAAAAGATAAATGAGAGGTAACGTCGTCGTTTGCAGGAATCCCTTTGCTCAAATTCAACTGTAGCTCTTCTTGTAAAAGCAAGTTTAAACTGTGTTTATTCATATCGTAAAAAAAGAATTCATCATTTTATCAAAAACTATACCCAGGTGTCAGGGGTACGACCTTGAACCTTCCCAGCTTTGGTAGAAAACCCATAAAGCTCACCTGGGTGTGTCCAGCAGAATCAGGTTGCCCCACTTTCCCACCTCGATGGACCCGTGGCTGGTGGATCTCCCCAGGGCGTGGGCGGAGTTAAGTGTGGCAGCTGCCAGCGCTTCCGGCATCGACATTTTCATTGTGACACAGGCTAGGTTCATCACAAGGGGCTGGATGGAACAAAATTATGACATTTTCATTGTGACATTTTCATTGTGACACAGGCTAGGTTCATCACAAGGGGCTGGATGGAACAAAATTATGACATTTTCATTGTGACACAGGCTAGATTCATCACAAGGGGCTGGATGGAACAAAATTATGACAATTGGTAAATTGGAAACAATTTAGAAAAAATGTCATCAGTGTACGAAATTATGACACATTTTAAATTAAAGTAAACTATGACAAATGGTAACTGGAACGAAATTATGACAAATGTTAACTGAAACGAAATTATGACAAATGGTAACTGGAACGAAATTATGACAAATGGTAACTGGAACGAAATTATGACAAATGGTAACTGGAACGAAATATGACAAATGGTAACGGGAACGAAATTATGACAAATGGTAACTGGAACGAAATTATGACAAATGGTAACTGGAACGAAATTATGACAAATGGTAACTGGAACGAAATTATGACAAATGGTAACTGGAACGAAATTATGACAAATGGTAACTGGAACGAAATATGACAAATGGTAACGGGAACGAAATTATGACAAATAGTAACTGGAACGAAATTATGACAAATGGTAACTGGAACGAAATTATGACAAATGGTAACTGGAACGAAATTATGACAAATGGTAACTAGAACGAAATTATGACAAATGGTAACTGGAACGAAATTATGACAAATGGTAACTGGAACGAAATTATGACAAATGGTAACTAGAACGAAATCATGCCACAATGTAACTGGAATGAAATGATGACAATCGGCTGGATAAACATACCATGTCTAAACAATAGGCATTCGGGTTGAAGTCTGTCCCCAGGGCCACGATGACCCCTGCGTCTATCATCGCCCGGACAGGGGGTGGCCGCAGGCGCAGGTTGTAGGCCGTGGTGGGGAGGACGACTGCCACAGTGTCCGAACCTGCCATGGCTTGAATGCCTTCCTCGGAAATTTCTTCCAAATGGCTGATAGCTTTGGCACCGAGTTCAACTCCCATCTAGAATTTGGTGGGGAAAATATTTAAATTCTCAGTAAAAGCGTCAAACCCAATTGTCTAGAGTTCTGTTCCCTAATATGGTGTAGAGGAAAGTAAAAGCCAGGGGCGTAGATAGGGGAGGGTGGGTGGGGCGGTTAGTTAATTTCTACATTGTAAGTAATAGCTAGTTTTTAATATTATTATAATAATATTAAGCTTGCTTGAACTTTTATCGGGGCAAAAATTCCAGTTGTCAAAAAAAAACATTTTTGGGGTGGGGTGGATTAAGTGTGACGTCATTTTTAGGGGAAATGAATTTGGTGATAATGGGGCGAGGGATGAGGCATGTACAAATTTTATTATTCTCAAATTATGGAGAGGTTGTGTTGTTCAACCAGATTGCTAACGGGTGTTTGCAGTAGAAATGGTCAGTTTTTTTTTCTGGTCAGTGAAGTCAACTAAGTCGCACCATTACTTTTTTTAATAATGCAAATCATAAAAGTTGTCTTTAAAAAAAATAAGACCAATATTGTTAACGCTTAATGTATAAATTACTTAGTAACATTAAAAAAAGAAAGACAACCTCTGCTGAATGAAGTCTATGTAGCTCTTCACCGTGAAAGTTTATCTGAAGCCCGGCATTTTTCCCCGCCATTAAAATAGCGCGGGACTGCGTGACATCGTAGACGCCCCTCTCACAGAACACATCAATGTTGTCCACATGCATCTCGCCCGAGGCCATCAGACTTTGGATGTGTGGGATGTGGTGGCTGATGATATCATCGGTTGCTTCTTGGGCGCTTTTGCCTCTAGATTAAAGTTAAGTATATATTTTTAGCCTCGGTATCATGAGCAGTGTTCCTTCCAGACTCAAACTTTTTTCTCTTGGGGGGAGGGGGCACTTGATATTGGGGGAGGGGGTGTGGACTAAATTTTCCGTGGAGGAGGGGCATTTGTATTTGTAAGTATTTGTATTTATAAGTATTTGTTTATTATATAAATTCCATTTCGTTCGGGGGGGGGGGGGGGGAAGGGGGGGGGAGGGGGAGGACTTTCTTGGGGTGGGGGTGGAGGTGAAGAGATGCCTGGGAAAAACTCATCATGAGCATTTGTGGTATGATTGAGAGCATACTGATGTAAGGAGCAGAGGCGTATCCAGGTTTTCGTTGTAGGGGGAGCGAAATGAGCAAAAAAAGGCGCCGAATATTTAACACGTTCTATATACGTTCTATATATATATATATATATATATATATATATATATATATATATATATATATATATATATATATATATATATATATATATATATATATATATATATATATATATATATATCTGTATGTCATTAATTCGCTGTGATGTAAAATAAATTGAAAGTAGCACTCTGAAGAAATAAGAAAAAACACACAATGTTGGCCGACAAAACAAAAATTGTATCAATCTAAACAATATATATATATATATATATATATATATATATATATATATATATATATATATATATATATATATATATATAAATATATATATATATAAATATATATATATATATATATATATATATATATATATATATATATATATATATATATATATATATATATATGTAACTAGGGTAGTTACCATACTATTGTAAGAACGTATTACAGTCTGATGCAACAGTTGCAGGACTGATAACGAACACCAGGCCGCTGCGCAGTTAATAGTTCTGATGCAACAAATGGTAATGATTACGTATACGAGGGGATGATGGGAAGGCGACTGGTAGAGAGAGGCAGTATCAAGTTGGTTACTGAACGGGGTAGACGTATTGTGTTATGTGAGGATAGGAATTATGGACACGTGCATTCTGTTATGTGAGGACTAGTGAGGACAGTGGGGGTCAGTTGGTTCATTGTATTCTTGTGGAACATTGGTGCATTGTTATAAGGAGCATTTCTATTGATTCATGTAATAAAGAGATCAATGTAAACCTGCATTTCCGAGTATCTATATTGTGGTCGATGTTGTGTGCTGGTCAAAGGTAGCACGAGTAAATACACTCGGTAACATTTGGCGCTGTCAGCAGTGAAATCGGTAACATTTGGCACTACAAGTAAATAGACTCGGTAACATATATATATATATATACATATATACATATATATATATATATATATATATATATATATATATATATATATATATATATATATATATATATATATATATATATATATACACTACAACCAAAAACAATGAACGTAACGTAACACAATCTGTTTTGTAATTCTTGTAAACAAAATTTCTTACATAATAATTCCTGGGGAATTATTTAAGACAAGGGAAATAGGGGAAATAATCACTCTCTTAATATAAATATGTATATATCTACATATTTAATTATAAATGTCAAAACAAATAATTACTTTAGAATAAAATGAAATTGTTTAAGACTATTCGTGTTTATAAAATGTTTTTGTCTATAATCAGAATTTAATATATCGTCATCATAAATGCTAAAACATTACAGCATAATGAAAGTTTTTAAAATCAGAGTTGGTATAAAAGCACTCTTTTCGTTAACTAGAAAAACATTCGGAATAACAACCTACATATAACTAAATATCGGTCTTTCAGTTCAGTACATACATTTTGATTAACTACTGCTTCTTTGTGTTCTTTAAAGATCATTTTTTTAACATAGTGATAGGTATGGGTTAGATCACTGTATTGATCACACACCTTTTTACTGGTAATTTCAAAAACAATATTCACAGAGTGTTACGTTTAAAATGCTAATTTTCTGGCGGAATGTTGCTTTGGTACATCATTACGCGTTCTCTACATGTACTTAACAGATCAGTTCGGGGTGGGTTGGGGGGGGGGGGGGATGGGTTCAACTTCATTCACCACTGTCCGTTCACTTTAGGTCAATTATCGAACCCAGTGTATACCTAGGTGTGACGTTATTGTCGCTCTACACAATTGTGGTGGTAAGGGGGGGGGGGGGGAGATAACCAACTCAGAGTGAACATAGCGTCAGTTTTTAGATGATTGTTCTAAACATACAAATATATTACACAGATATATATTACAGAAATAGATTTAAATAAGTAGCAGTGGTATTATGACAATATTTTTTTACAGAGGGGTCCATGTGGGAGGGGGGGGGGGTTGTAACTGTTTTATATAATTTGTAATCGTAATCACTATCGCCCAAACTGTTTCTGTATTGTAATTTTAAAAAAAAATTAATTACACGATTCAAACTGTATATATAAAGTAATTATGTGTGAAGTTTTATGTATAACATTTTCTAATTCAATTATTCGTAAGCAAATACATTATACAGTTGCCTTAAACACCCCTCTTGCCAATTGGTACTACCGTAGAGGTATTTTAAAAATTGCAATACATCGTAATGGTTATTTTTAGAATGGCAAACTGATGCAGCTGTTAATATGTGTTGTAAACGTAGACACTACTAGACTAGAACAATAATGCAAAATATTGCTGCATGAAAAGAAATCTTGTGATTTACATAGATGTGCCGACCAAAATATTTTTTAACAACTATCATTGTTTAAAACTTTGAACTTAAAAAGTTTCCAAAAAAGGCGCCACTTTGCTGAAAATGGCCAGAGGGGGAGCGGCCGCTCCCCCTGCTCCCCCCCCCCCCTGCGTACGCTACTGGTAAGGAGTGTTGTTTTTTTTTTTACTTAGAAAATTCTGTAATGTAACTGTAAAATCGATCTCAAACACCGTTACTTATTTTAAATAACCAGGGTATAATATTGCACAAGGACGAGTTAAACTATTGGATAGATTTTCTACTATTGTTGAGTTGCAAGCGAGTGGACGCCAGCATTAACAAGTACAAACTATTTATAGGTTAAGTCACAATACCAATACTTGTGATCTATACGTTAGCTACAATGTATAAACAAAAGAGATTAAGTGTATGATATATGTATCAATTACATTCTATAAATAGCATAACACACTTAGACTACGACTTATTTATCAGTGACAATCTATTTATAGCATATTATACTTAGAATAAGACTTTTTTATCAGTAACAATCTATTAATAGCATATCATACTTAGAATAAGACTCATTTATCAGTGACGATCTATTAATAGCATATCATACTTAAAATAAGACTTATTTATCAGTGACAATCTATTAATAGCATATCATATTTAAAATAAGACAGTGACAATCTATAAATAGCACAACATACACAGGCACGGCGTGAGCACCGCAGTAGGTGGACGAGACATCGATCTTCTCCCTCCGCCTCGCCTGGTCTAGAACCCGCAGCATCTTCACCTCGTTCTCCAGGTCCAGGCCGTATCCGCTCTTACACTCGACCAGCGTGGTGCCGGAGCTGACCATCTGACGTAGGCGGGAGGTCAAGGACGAGTAGAGCGTGACCTCACTGGCCTGCTGGGTGTGGCGGACTGTGAAGTTGATCCCCCCGCCCATCTGGTGGACGTCCATGTAGGTCGCTCCCGCCAGCTGGGGAGGGGGTGGGAGAGGGGGGGGGGGGCGACGACATTGAAATGGGATGTTTATTATTAAAATAAAATATTTCAAAGTTATGGAACAGTTTATATCTCTTCTAATTCTACTTCTCTTATTTAAAGTATTATTATTTTGATTAAAATAAAATTTAAATATTTCAAAGTTATGGAACAGTTTATATCTCTTCTAATTCTACTTCTCTTATTTAAAGTATTATTATTTTGATTAAAATAAAATTTAAATATTTCAAAGTTATGGAACAGTTTATATCTCTTCTAATTCTACTTCTCTTATTTAAAGTATTATTATTTTGGTTAAAATAAAATTTAAATATTTCAAAGTTATGGAACAGTTTATATCTCTTCTAATTCTACTTCTCTTATTTAAAGTATTATGGCGAAGGAAGAGGACAGAGGGGTCGTCCATAAATGACGTCACACTCGTAGGGGGAGGGGGAGTCCGTAACGCTGTGACGGTGTGTGATGAGGGGGAGGGGGGGGGGGGGTTCAGATGGTGCGACGTCACATTTTTGCATTATAAAAAAGCAATGTTAGAAAACGAATTTTAGACGTTATTTTGCGTTTTGGAAAACTGTTTTAATAAATTGAAATAAAAATTGAGCAAAATACTCTGTTTTGACAGAGTTCAGACAAGATTTTGGAAAAATATAGCTGTTAAAAAAAAATTCAACTGCAAATTTTTAGGGGGGGGGGGTTTAGGCTGAGGTGTGACGTCATTTTAGGGGGGGGGTCTGGCTTTTTGTGACGAAGTGTGGGGGAGGGGGGGGGGGGGAGGTAAAAATCGTCAAAAAAAAAGCGTGACGTCATTCATGGATGACCCCAGAGATTAAATATCATAAAAAAAAGTACGAGTCGACCCGCTGCGTAGCATAAGCGATATTTAGTAGTTTTATTTTCTACTTTTTAGTAATTCATAATTTGTGAATTCGTCAGTACCAATGCTGCGACTGAAAATTTTGCTTTAAAACACTATCAGTAGCTAATGAAGGACAATTATCCTAACCCCCCCCCCCCCCCCCCCCCCCCCCCCCCCCCCCCCCCCCCCCCCCCCCCCCCCAAAAAAAAATCAGTTATTTTACGTAAAAAATTTAAAGATTAGCAATTGGGAAGGAAGATCAGACTAGGTTAACTACTATTTTCAATTGACAAAAATCAATATCAGCAGACTACAAGTAATCTCACGGGGGTAATTAAAAAGTTGGATTGGATACAAACCTTCATGGCGAACTCGTGAACTCTGTCACCTTCCCATATGGGGTGAGTATGTGCGTCAACTAACCCTAGGAGAATAGAGGTTCATCTATAGGGGTCATCTGTTTTCTAAATAGTTCAAATATAGGGGTCATCTGTTTTATAAATAGTATATCTATAGGGGTCATCTGTTTTATAAATAGTATATCTATAGGGGTCATCTGTTTTCTAAATAGTTCATCTATAATGGTCATCTGTTTTATAAATGGTTCATCTATAGGGGTCATTTGTTTTATAAGTAGTACATCTATAGGGGTCATTTGTTTTATAAGTAGTACATCTATAGGGGTCATTTGTTTTATAAGTAGTACATCTATAGGGGTCATTTGTTTTATAAATAGTTCATCTATAGGAGTCATCTGTTTTATAAATAGCTTATCTATAGGGGTCATCTATTTTATAAATAGTTCAAATATAGGCAGGGGGTCGTAGCGAGGGGGGGGGGGCGGGGGGTGCGGACCGCACCGGGTGACACCATTTAGGGGGGTGACACCAAGGCAAAAAATAGGAAAAATATATAGAGAAAAACTTGAGGGGGGGGGGGTGCAAATCGAAAGTTCGAGGGGGGGGGGTGCAAATGGAAAACTTGAGGGGGGGGGGTGCAAATCGAAAGTTTGAGGGGGGGGGGGGTGCAAATCGAAAACTTGAGGGGGGGGTGCAAATCGAAAGTTTGAGGGGGGGTGCAAATCGAAAATTTGAAAGTTTGTCCCCGGGAAGGGTCGCTACGCCTCTGGGGGGGGGTGACACCATTAAGTGCCGCACCGGGTGACACCCGACCTCGCTACGCCACTGAATATAGGGATCA